GATGCCGTTTGGACTGAAAAATGCACCTGGAACTTTTCAGAGCTTGATCGATCAGTTTCGACATAGACTCAGTGCTATCGTACCTAGACGATATCTGTGTGCTCTCCAGGACTTTTGTGGAACATATCAAGGACTTGAAACTCTTCTTTTCACGTCTCTGCCAATGTAATTTACGAGCCAAACGTGAAAAGTGCTAGTTTGCGTGTAAGATTGGTAAATACCTTGGTCATTTGATCACTCCTGATGGAATTTCCGTGAATCCGGAAAAAGTGGCAGCAATTGCGAATAGACCTACGCCCAGTGACGTTAAGCAAGTGCTTTCGTTTTTGCAGTCGTGTAGCTGGTATCGTCGCTTTGTGAAGGACTTTGGAACTGGAATGCGACGTTTTGTGATGGAATATATGAAAAATTGTATCGATTGTCAACGGTATAAGGCCTCAAATCAAAAGCCAGTAGGTTTGGTATAAACGCCAACCTATGCTCAGAGATTTGAAACACTTTACATCGATTTATTTGGATCTCTTCCAGAAGATCTAGTAGCAAGAAATGGATTTTCATAGTAGAAGATAGCTCTACTAAATGGGTGGACCTTTTCGCTATAAAGAAAGCAACGGCAGAGGAATGTGCTTGTGTTCTCATTAATGAAGTTTTTTGACGTCATGGTTTGCTAAGGAAAATCAGTAGTGATAACGGAACATAATTGGTCACATCTGAGTAGAGTGTTTTCACAGCTATCAGACCAATACCCACATCTACCACGTGAAAACCCCCCTCCAGCACAGCCATCATACCACTACCCACCTTCACTCTCTAAACCCTCTTCCGTGAAGCTCCTACCCTGAGGAGGCACTTTTTTATATCCCTCCTTTTGAAAACTAAAAAATATATAACCAATTCTTCCATTTGTATTCGTCAATTTTGAGGTTGGCCCGGATCAAATTCCCAAAATTTCAGATCAAAGGCGCAGCAGATCTAGAGATTTTCCTACGGTATCGAAAAAGTTCCCAGGCTCAAGGGCCCCCAGCTATCAGACCAATACCCACCTCTACAGGTTGGCCCGGGTTAAATTCCCAAAATTTGAGATCAAAGACGCCGCCGATCTAGAGATTTTCCCACGGTATCAAAAAACTTTCTAGGCTACGTCAAAAAGCTTCTACTCTGAAGAGGTGCCTTTTCCATATCCCTTCACTTTCTTGAAAACAAAAAAATATTTAAACAACTCCTGCATTTGCATTCGTCAATAGTGTTCTAAACTCCATGGGATGTAGAAGCTCTTGAAAGGATTCAAAATTAAAAGCAGACCGTTATTGTTAAAGGACCCTATCCTATATGGGAAATTGACCCGGGCTAACCTGGTAGAGGTGGTTATTGCTCTAATAGCTGTGAGGTGGGTATTGGTCTGACAGCTGGGGGCACTTGAGCCTGGTAACTTTTTCGATACCGTGGGAAAATCTCTAGATCGACGGCGCCTTTGATCTGAAATTTTGGGAATTTGACCCAGGCCAACCCCAAAATTGATGAATACGAATGGAAAAATTGGTAAAATATTTTTTAGTTTTCAAAAAAAAGTAGAGGGATATAAAAAAGTGCCTCCTCAGGGTAGGAGCTTCACGGAAGGGGGTTTACAGTGGAGTTGGGTAGTGGTATGATGGCTGTGTTGGAAAGGGTTTTCACGTGGTAGGATATTGGTCTGATAGCTGTGAAAACACTCTACTCATCTGTTATGCAGCAAGTATGTTTTGTGGTAAACATCAAGGAAAAATTGTGCACAATAGGAAAGACAAACACGATTTTATTTTAATGGTACCACCAAGACTCCAATCCCACAGAGGGGTTTTTTAAACCATTCCAAAAGCTCAAAAAATCGATTATCTCTGAGTCACGAAATAAATTTACTTGTAGATTGAATTAGTCGTACAAATGTAGAAAAATATTAGGTCATAAATCTAATTTTTGACTAATCGTGGTATTTGGAGACATATACCTAATGTTTATGGAAAACTATAAGGAAAAGGAAATAATAGTACTTGATAGTGGAGTCACAATAGTTCAGCAAATTATTTTTCTCACACTAAGTTTAAAGTAGGTAGGTACTGCAAATGTGACTATGAACTTCACAACTGATGTACGCTGATGGCGACTTATTATGTTTTGTATCGAAATCACAACAAGGTAAACTGGATTGTGATTCTGCTCTAATATGAAATGAACTGCATAAAATTATGGGAATATTTGCTTTACAAAGCCGCGAACGATAAGTCAATACAAATCTTCGAGGAAAATGGTACTCGATTGGACCAGAAGTGAAAACAGTAGATCCAAATTGAGGCGTTTACTGCAAGAGGACAAAAACACCATTTCCAGCTACTCTACTTACCTATTATTTATACAAAAACCAAAGGTACTTTCGCTTTACTGACCCGTTAATTATATCCACTACAATAAGTAACAATGTCTCTGTGCTATAAGGGACTCTAAAAAGTACTTATAGATAGCTACACAAATTACCAATTACATTCTCCGCCATAAATATTAATAAATCCATGATTTTAATAACATTAATTCCCGCACATGAAATTTGCACCTCGCCTCGGCTAATGGCGTAATAACGCTCATTAGAACCCAAGTTCCTTGTCTATTATTTAGGTACCACCGCCATAAGTATTCCGACGATAACTTGTCTTCGATATTATCGCGACCAAATATGGTACCGGTAGAAATATCGAGTGTGTGCTTATATAAATGCAAATTGTGCTCGTGCACATTTTATGGGGAGCAAATTTGTTATTTTGTGATATATTGATTATCTATCCAGAAAATATGTTATATGAGAAAACTATTATCGACCTTCATGTATGTATTTTGAGTTATGGGTACAATAAATTATATGGAAAGTAAAAGTTAATTATCTACTAGGATTTGCACATGTGCACGTGTGAAAATAAGGTTGCCTGAAATAAATAAAGATAGTACCCGTGGTGGTCCGATATTCTGTTACTTTAATTGACCACTCGGCTCGATATTAACGAGATTTTTTAGTTATTTTTTGATTTAAGAGGTCGATTTTAATCGGTATGGGGTATAAGTTTTATGAAGTATTGCCAATTAATCCAAATATTGTTGTATTTATCTAGAACAAAATTGACCTAAATAGTATTTTAAATTCAACCCAGATTCTCCAGACAAATTTATTACGATAATCTGGAAATAGCACAGCGGCAAAACACTTTCGGCTCCTTATTAGGTACCTATCCTAATTGCAATTAAAAACTTTTCGATTACCCACTGCAGACGCATGAAATGATTATCAATAAAGTGTTAGATTTACATAACTTAATTAGCAGAATAATTTGTTTTCATTTGTAAAATTGTTAGGCTTGATTAATTAGCGAAATTCATTTTATTTGTATCATAACGGGGATAATTAGTACTTAACACTTGTAAAAGCTCGAAGAAAATTATTAACATTTAATGATAATTTGCGTGTTAGATTAAATGAAGCAGAAATAGAAATTGTTATGAGTTCTATACTAAATTCACCTAGTTGTGAACATATCGGTGAAGCAAGTCCTGTTATGATCAACACCAAAAATGAGCTTTGATTAGGCAATGCATAAAACGTCTAGTGATTATGCAAAATGACAAAATCGTCAGATATTTTTTTAATTGAATTCCTATAATTATTGATCATAAAGTCACTCTAATAGATTTGAGTGTAGATTTCTACGATATATTGCTATCACAAACTTTTCCATATTGTGAAGTTGTCTAGATACTGAAGTGACAATATAGAGAAAATTCCTCATGGATATTTCACTAGGTCAGTGGTCAGTGCAACACAACTAAATTAGAAAACAATATTGAAATAACAACCATGATAAAAGTGAGTGTGTGTCGAAATAGATGGCATCACTTGCTATTTGGAATCACAGAACCTGTGACCGGAACTGAATGAATCCAGGGCAACGTGAGGCGTCTTTTATTTAGCGAAATTGGTGACGCTTTTAGGTTATCAGTCAGACAAGCGACTTTTTCCAACGAACCAGGGGTCAAGAGCCGTGTTTTTAAGACATAGTCAACACACTCTTTTAGAAACCGACTGATAACCCTTGGCTCTTGGTACGGTTTTGTCAGAAATTTGGCAATTTAATCTAACTGGTAAAAAAGCCAATTAATTGTATTACGAAGCAAAAAAAGGACTTGTAGGCCGGTTTGTTACATTATCACTAATTCCGATCCTTATGCAAATTCGATGTGTTTGTTATACTTCAGCCCCTGCTCCAATAACTCGTAGGGTATGGCATTATGTAGCTGCAGACTGGAAAGGTCTGAAACTCTTTTTCTCAACCTCTTCGTGGGCCGATGCTTTTCAAGTTTATAAACGATTTAATGAAGGAACGACTTGACACTGTAAGCACCAGAACCTGTGACCAGAACTGAATGAATCCAGGGCGACGTGAGGCGTCTTTTATTTAGCGAAATTGGTAACGCTTTTAGTTTATCAGTCAGACAAGCGATTTTTTCCAAGAAACCAGGGGTCAAGATTCGTGTTTTCAAGACATAGTCATCACACTCTTTTGGAAACCGACTGATAACCCTTGGCTCTTGGTACGGTTTCGTCAGAAATTTGGCAATTTAATCTAACTGGTAAAAAAGCCAATTAATTGTATTACGAAGCAAAAAAAAGGACTTTTAGGCCGGTTTGTTACATCATCACTAATCGGAATTAGTGCAAATTCGATGTGTTTGTTATACGTCAGCCCCTACTCCAATAACTCGTAGAGTATGGCATTATTTAGCTGCAGACTGGGAAGGACTTAAACTCTTTTTCTGGACCTTTCCGTGGTCCGATGCTTTTTAAGTTTATAAACGACCTAATTACTGAAACTATTTCCTATTTAAGGGGTTCACGGTTCATTCTAGACAAACTTTCATATACATTAACTTAACCCAATATGATAATTACTTGAAATCTTATTGAAAGTGATCATCCATTTCAGCTTAGTACAAAAGCAGCTGAAGAAGTAGAGGTTGTAGAAGCCGTGCCAAGCGAAGAAAATGAAGATCATGCAAACAATATTGAAAAAGACAGCAAAAACGATCAAATTTCTATGGAATCTGCAGACGAAAAAGAGCAACCGCCTAAAAAACTAGCCTTCAACGGACCTCCGAGAAACAGCAATCCTATAAACTTACCTCCGAACCTACCTCCAAGAGGTAAGAACCGCGACAAATTCTATAATCAATTGACTTACCTATTCTTTTTGAAATCTACTTTCAGGTAACGGAGGTCAATACTACAACAATCACAAACCTTACAAAAACAAACCGAATTACGAAAACAAAAATCAATATAATGGCCCTCCGCCACCTCCGCCCAAACAGGCTATGGACAAGTACGACAAATACGGACCGCCTTCTGGAGACATTTGGCCGGCTCCAGTACCTGATATGCCAAAAATCATATCATTGGATGTGAAATGTGAAAAAAACCTAATGAAAGTTTACATAGGTATGTTTAAATTAATTAATTTTCAATTTATCCTATTTTGAATTTGTAGGATTCGACAAGCCTTTCTACGGAATAGTCTTCAGTAAAGGTCATTATAGTAATGTACACTGTGTCCATTTGCCCGCCGGTTTGGGTAGAACATCTACGCACTTTGAAATTGGTATTCATGCCTGTGGTACTTCAGGTAACACTGAAAACGGATTGTATGGCTATGGAGCTGAAAGTGGCAGTGGAACATATTTTGAAAATATTATCGTCATACAGGTGAATTTGTTATAACTAAAGAAAAACAAACTTGAATTTCGAATTTTAGTACGATCCTCAAGTACAAGAAGTATGGGACCAAGCACGTAAGTTGAGATGTACCTGGCATGATCAGTATGAGAAATCAGTGACTTTCCGACCATTTCCTGTGGATATGTTGGACGTTATCAGAACCGACTTTGCTGGTGATAATGTGGGTTGTTGGATGCAAATTCAAGTAGGAAAAGGTAAAAAACCTCCCAATAATTATTTGATATTTTTATTCAATCATTGTTCTTAGGTCCTTGGGCATCTGAAGTATCCGGTCTAGTCAAAATAGGTCAAACAATGACCATGGTACTGGCCATCAAAGATGATGATAACAAATTTGACATGCTGGTAAGAAATTGTATGGCTCATGATGGTAAACGAGCTCCTATTCAATTGGTAGACCAGAAGGGATGTGTCACTAGACCAAAACTAATGTCAAGGTAAAGCTTTGCTGAGAATGGGATTCTTAGTATACAATATTTTGTAGGTTTACAAAAATCAAAAACTTTGGAGCCAGTGCTTCAGTTTTATCTTATGCCCACTTCCAAGCATTCAAATTCCCTGATTCCATGGAAGTGCATTTCCAATGTACAATTCAGATTTGTAGATATCAGTGCCCTGATCAATGCTCAGATGGAACTAATCATATTGGGTAAGAGGTTATTTCAAAAAATTGAAATAAATACTACTTTTTATTATTTAGATATCAGAGTAGTCTTTTGGATCTTGCCCATGGCCCAGATACCCAATACGGCCCTCCACCATCCCTACCAATTGAACACTACCTTCACTCGGCACATCCACGTGACGAACGTAGAGTAAAACGTTCACTGCCAACTGATCCTGAAACTGAAGTTGGAGTTAATCGAGTGATCCGTGTAGTCAGCACCGGTGATTTAACATTCTCCCTAGACGAAAACAGCACCAACACAGCACCTACGATGGTATTCCCAGCTTCCAATGACCAAGTAGTAGCTGCTAGCGGACTGATTTGCATGACAACCCCAGGATTTGCAGCTACACTAATAGTTTTGTTAGCGATAATGATTATTTCGTGTCTTATGTCAGCGTTTTTGTGTGTCAAGTTGAAACCTTTTACGCATAAAAAGATTGTTGGTTGGGTAGGGTTTCCTACTACTCAAAAGGTAGCTGGTAAAACGGTTGCGACGTCGAAAAGTTGTTTTTATTCGTGATTGGGAATGATAATACTCGGATAAGTAATGCTGACAATTTGATACAGATCTGTTTTTCAATTTTGCTCTCTGCAGAAAGCCTAGAAACTCAAATTCACAAGCCTTGATTGCTAAAACCTTCATAGAATCACAACAAAAAAATTTCTAAATTAAGTGTGCGCTACTGACATAAAGCTAAATTTATTCAAAGAATTCACTTTTTAGTTTCCATTACAGAGGTATTCGTGTCTTCAATGTGAGCTACCTTCTCTGCATCTATCCAAATGTTAGCATTACCCATTTTTAGTAAGAGTTTATACAAATAATATTAATATTAACGTTGTTTAAGCAATGTATTAGTGTCTTAAGGTACCGTTTGGTTGAGCCAAAAGAAACACACCTTTTTTTTTGATATTAGGAATACAAAATAAATACCTACATTTTTAGCTACATGGAATTGTTTTCCTATTACAAATATTGCAGAAAACTCATTCTATCCAAACGGTATATTTATTGACTAAGACTAATCATGAAATAAAAAACAAATTCAAAATGTATTATGTGATAAAGCATATTAAAAGTATTTCCATTTTTATTGGAATTTATATTAGTGCCTAGCAGTTAAGTTACCTTGTAGGACACAGTTAATTTATTTATTTATTTATTTATTATCTTAAATTACATTCTGGGTATAGATTAAGGTAGGTAGGTTATTTATTGTATTTTTTAAGGAATTTACATGATGTCCACAGTGTAATGCCTTTACATCATTTATTCAAGTTTAAATTAAATTATTATTTTTTATTATTCTAGGACCTTTTTCCGTGTAAATGATGTATTGTCATTTTGTTTTAGTCAAGGACATCCTGTACATATTTGTAAATAATCCTGGTTTCTGGTGGCAGTTTTAAGTTATTTTTAGATTATTTATTTATTTTGTATGTTTTTAAAATTAAATTTTTATCTTTATTTATTTATTTGTACCTGTATTACTTTATTTCATTTACTTTTACATTTTGGGATTCTATATTGTTTTAGAAACTATGTCATAACGAAGCAACAAAGAGCCTATTGAGGCTATCACACATTTTAGTTGAATTTTTCAATTTAAAGCAGAAAGTCAAAAGACAAGAATTTAGATAATTTATTTATTACCTACCAAAAAATATTCTGTATTTCATGTTGCCAATAGATTATTCTAATAAAAATAAAGGACCCGATTCTCTTCGTGCCACTATAGTTATTTTCTTTTTTACCTCAGATATGTAAGTTACATATAATAATTTATTTTTCTTGTAATAATCTTTATAATTATTAATTAAGAATATGTTAGCTTTTGAAAAGTAAAATTTTTGTCTTACTTCTAAAAATCTCGCATAAATAGTTTTCCTAAAATGCTAACATGTATCAAATAAATTGAAACTCAGAAATAAAACAATTTGAAAATAATTTTTGTCTATCATTTTATTTACCCACGTTATATACAAAATATATAAAATAAATAGCCTCTGAAAACTGAGCAAAAGATCAGCAACATATAAACATTTATAGTACAAGAGAGGACTGCGAGAATTCCTGCCGATAAGAAATCAATCAAAATTTAAACTTTAATTTTAAATTATCAGCGGTTTCCTCTCTAAATATAGATAGGCATTCTTATAAGCGAACTACTCCAAATATCTCTTAAACGGATGAACTTTTTCAAATTGGCTGGGGATGTTTGTTGTGAGGAAGGTGAATCTTTACATTTTAATTGTCAAATAAATTCTGTACTTATTGCCTAACGTGAGTCATGTAAAACACTGAAAAAAAAAAAAAAATCGACGCCTATGCATAATGCCGAAATGAAGTTTGAAGAAGGACTGCCAGGAAAAAGTTGACTAAACAAAAATGTTGATCAATCAAATGAATCGTGAAAGCTATTTTGAACGATTATCGTAGACAGCCAGCAGCCCCCTCTAATTTAGACTTTCCACTACAGCAATACTAGCAGCTCCACCAGGTAAGGCTCCTAGGATGCTGAATCCAGCAAAACGAGGTATGGGTGGAATAATCCTTTTTTTTGAAAATTATAATATGGAAAGGGTGCTAACGAAACAGTTCTCAACAAGTAACTAATCGACAAGCATAGGACCCTGCACACCTCTTATGGGTATTTGGTTTTCTGTCAAACTCAATTAAATTTTGATGTGTTCTCATGGGCCCGAACCAGTTTTTGAGATACAGGTACTTTAATGTTCAAGAAATGTACACATTTTATATGCATTTACCGTTAATACAACCCAATAATATACCAGGATGGACAGGTATCCTAACGCTCAGGTTACAGGTAGATGTAAAGGCTTATAAAATGTGTATACAGTGAGATTCATTGCAATTAGCATTGCATATTCTTTCAACATCACTAGTATTAAGTCAAAATTCTAACCAATAAATCTATTCAGTGCAGCGATGTATAGTTTTTCCAAAGTCAATTGGAACAAGGTGAACATAAATCATAACTGGTGGCTGACTGGTGGCAGTGCATTTCTTATGGAAATTTTCAGTGACGAGTCAGCCACCAGTTGGTACCTTGCTCCAATTGAGTTTGGAAATACTATACAAATATTTTGGGGGTTATTAAAACTATTTTGTTCACCACTGATTTATCCATCTGACACGATATTGACATTACCTATGTGTCAATGAAATAAAAATTTAACACATTATGGCGGATGTTTATATAGTGTGAGTGTGTGCCAATCTCAATAATTCTTAATGTACCGGGTGATTGTCTATATTTTGCACCCACACCTATCTCACCTGTTTGAAGATATAGGTACCCAGAAATGTCAAATGTGAAAGTTGTAGGTAATATCAGAAACTTTGCAATGAAGTTAGTTACAAGTATACAGGGTGTGTCACAAAAGTGTGGCAAAGCGAACTTCACTTTTTAAAAAACACCTAGTATATTATTGACCTATTGGATTAGCCTAGTCCGGTCTCTGAAAATCTAATTTTGAAGAGAATATGGATTTTTTCACCTTTTTCAATGCAAATGCAATTATTCCACCCCTTTTTTCCTTATTTTCTCCCAGACTGTTAGGAATAAACCTAAAATTTGGAATCAGGTTTGAAAAGCTAATCCAATGGGTCAATAATATACGGGGTGTTCCATTTGAAAAAGTTCAACTTTGCTTTGCCACACTTTTGTGACACACCCTGTATACTTGTAACTAACTTCATTGAAAAGTTTCTGATATTTCTTAGTATCACTTCAAACAGATGAGATAGGTGTGGGTGAAAAATATAGACAATCACCCGGTACATTTCATGGAGTTTAAACTACCTATATCTCAAAAACTAGTCATAGGATTGGTTTGGGCCCATGAGATCTTTTTATCAGGAAGTCGAGGTCTAACACATACCAAAATTTCATTGAGTTTGACAGAAAACCAAACACCCATAAGAGGTGTGTCCTTTGAAAATTTCTATCCATTTTAAAGAGATCCAGTTTTGTGTGTTTTGGTTGGATATATACCACTTCCATTCTTTCCTAGACCGATAGCTATCATAGTCCTATTATGACGCATAGCTCCTTCTAACTCAGATGTTCCCAATGCGAGCATCAGATTGATACAGCTTTAGCAATATTAGCAGCCCTTCTAGGTAAGGCTCCAAGGGCGCCGAGTCCAGCAAAATCAGGTAAGAGTGGAATAATCCTATTTTTGTTTTTTTGAAAATTACATGGAAAGTGTATGAACGAAACATTTCGCAACAGGTAACTAATCTACAGGCAAATTTGAAAATTTCCATCCATTTTAAAGAGATCCAGTCTTGTGTGTTTTGGTTAGATATATCCCACTTCCTTTCTTTCCTAGAACAATAGCTATCATATAGTCTTATTATGGTGCATAGCTCCCTCTAATTTAGATTTTCCCAATGCGAGCATTAGATACAGCTTTTAGCAATACTGGCAGGCCCTCCAGTTAAGGCTCCAAGGGCGCTGAGTCCAGAAAAACGAAGTAAGAGTGGAATAATCATACTTTTTTTTTTTTTTTTTTAAATATATCTAAAGTCTATTACCGAAACATTTCTCGACAAGTAACTATAATCGACAGGAAAATTTAAAAATTTTCATCCATTTTGAAGAGATTCAGTTTTGTGTGTTTTGGTTAGATATATCCTACTTCCTTTTTTCCCTAGAACGATAGCTTCCATAGTCTTATTATGAAGCTTAGCTCTCTCTAATTTAGACTTTTCCAATGCGAGCATCAGATACAGCTTTAGCAATACCAGCAGCGCCTCCAGGTGAGGCTCCAACGGCGCAGAGTCCAGCGAAACGAGGTAAGAGTGGAATAATCCTATTTTTTTTGAAAATTACATGGAAAGTCTATTAACGGAACATTTCTCAACAAGTAACTAATCGACAAGCAAATTTGAAAATTTCCATCAATTTCAAATAGATCCAGTGTTTTGGTTTGATATATCCCACTTCCTTTCTTTCCTAAAACGATAGCTATCATAGTCCTATTATGGCGCATAGCTCCCTCTAATTTAGATGTTCCCAATGCGAGCATCAGATTGATACAGCTTTAGCAATACTAGCAGCCCCTCTAGGTAAGGCTCCAAGGGCCCTGAGTCCAGCAAAACGAGGTAAGAGTAGTAATCCTATTGTTTTTTTTTTTTTTTTTTGAAAATTACATGGAAAGTCTATTACCGAAACATTTCTCAACAAGTAACTATAATCGACAGGAAAATTTTAAAATTTTCATCTATTTTAAAGAGATTCAGTTTTGTGTGTTTTGGTTAGATATATCCCACTTTCTTTCTTTTCTAAAACGATAGCTATCATAGTCCTATTATGGCGAATAGCTCCCTCTAATTTAGATGTTCCCAATGCGAGCATCAGATTGATACAGCTTTAGCAATTCTAGCAGCCCCTCTAGGTAAGGCTCCAAGGGCGCTGAGTCCAGTAAAACGAGGTAATAGTGGAATAATCCTTTTTTTTTGAAAATATATGGAAAGTCTATTACTGAAACATTTCTCAACAAGTAACTATAATCGACAGGAAAATTAAAAAAATTTCATCCATTTTAAAGAGATTCAGTTTTGGGTGTTTTGGTTAGATATATCCCACTTCCTTTCTTTCCTAGAACAATAGCTATCATAGTCCTATTACGGCGCATAGCTCTCTCTAATTTAGATGTTCTCAATGCGAGCATCAGATACAGCTTTAGCAATACTAGCAGCCCCTCTAGGTAAGGCTCCAAGGGCGCTGAGACCAGCAAAACGAGGTAAGAGTGGAATAATCCTATTTTTTTTTGAAAATTACATGGAAAGTATATTAATGAAACATTTCTTAACAAGTAACTTATCTACAGGCAAATTTGAAAATGTTCATCCATCAAAGAGATGCAGGCCGTTTTCAAAATGAATACCCATGCAGTATGATAAAAGAAGTCTTTTCAAAACCGATTCGAACACCGATACGTTTTCAATATTGGAAGTAATATTTAACAAAAGTTTATTTTGCTGAAAATAAAAATAAAATATATCTCAAATACACCTTAATCAAAAAAATAAATAAATAAATCTTAATTCAAACAACGGGCCGTATAATCTAAAATCTATCAATAACTAATATTATTTAAACTAATAAGAAAAAAATTAACGATACAATAAACTATTTATATCTACGTAAAAAAAAAACACTAGTGGACACTCTGGTTCATTAACAACCTCTTGTAAAAATACAAGATAAAATCATATATTAGGGCCTGGTTTAATTTATAATAATTAGGTACTTTTATTTCAAATTTTGACACATATATTTGTACTTATTTATGCTGTAATTAAATATAAATTAAACCATTTTTAAATACCGATAAATATAAACTATTCCCACTAAAAAACTATGAAATTATAAAAATACTGGTGTATTATAAATTTATACAAAATGAATAAATATTACATTATGCACTAATCTAAAAAAGCATAATTGAAAATCTAACCAGTTCAAAATAAAAATCAATCTTTGACCCCTAAAACACGAGAAAAATATACACAAACCCATCACCAACATTTAATTGTAAAATAAAAAAGAACAATTATTATAGGATATAATTTAAATAAATAAATATCTTTCATAGGCTGAGCAAACAATTTAAAGCTAAACATTTCAGGATAAAAAAAAAAAGATAAATATCTAAATAACTTAATAATAAATGGCTTAAAGCTAAAGACCCATTTGTTTTAAGGGCCAAAAATAATTAGAATATTTACAAAAAAAAAAATTCGTCTAAATTTAATTATCTACAATCTACAATAGTATGTGGAACTTTATCCCACATTCTATATTGCAAATTTGCCCGTAAGCTTAGCAAAAATTCATATTGTGGAAACATCAAATTTTGCACTAACACTAAACGTACTATTTGAACTATATCAATCAAATTTAGTTGTCCATAAAAAATCATTTTATTTACTGCTCATAGTTTTTCCATTAGAAGTTGACCCGCTTATAGACAACGAAGTGTCCATGGTTTCATTCTGATCCGACATGCTCGAATCGGCCCTTCTCAAATGGACCATCGATATGGAAGGTTTTAGAAGTTTGAGGCCCATCCAGCTCGAGAATATACTCATCGGGATGGAACCGTTTTGTTGTTGCTGTTGTTGGGTTGCTATATGTTCTTTTTGAAGCTGATATCTGAAGAAAATGAATTATTAGTTATTGAATATTGTAACCATTAAGACACCAAAGCACCCTCTACCTTGGTAGAAAACACCCAATGACACCGGTCCATGACCAGTCGAGAAAAAAGAAGGTGTGAAAAGGAGATTAAGTTAATCAACGTGTACCATATTACATTTTTCCTAGTGCACTCCTTATCAAAAAACCCCAGTTAAATAGGCGCCCAACGTGGGGCCAAGTTAAAAAGCAAGTTTATTTTGACTGTACCCTTGTTGACTAGATAGATTTGTGAAGTTTTCCTGTGAGTTTTTCGATTGTGGTCATAATCCATCTCACCAGCTTCACCAATTTCATGCACTATTACGTTCAGGTCGGATATAGGATCAACGCGTAGCCTAGCTGATGATGCGCCTATGAAACTTCTCTTGAAAGAAAACGCTCCTTATATTCAACAACAATTGTTGCAGATGGCATAGAGAAGACTGTAACTTCTCTAGTTTTCAATGTCGAAATAGTTCTGAATGATGAAATTATTTCAACATCACTTGTTGCCATTCCAGAACATATCAAGGACTTTACTGGGTTTAGACATCATTGAACTTGCCAATATTGTGATGGAAATTCCTCAGGGACAATGGTTTTATGCTGAAACTCCACAATTTTCGTATTTATTTGAAGATGAGACTAATTATGTAATAACTACTGCGGAATCTACTCCAATGTTTTCTGTACAACTGAATGTATCACAATTGAGGTGTAAAACTAAGCCAACCGGAAATGCAACAAATTGAATTCTTACCCCACCAATATGCTGAATTATTCACACCCAACACCATATGCAGACCATACAGTAAAACTGTACCACCTTATGTGTGAACAAAACAAAAACATATTAAGGGCAGAATTGGATAAGCTTCTGAAAGATGGAATCATAGAAGAATGCGAATCCCCGTATGCTGCTCCAGTTGTTCTAGTACCTAAACCTGATAATAGTATTTGCCTTTGTGTCAATTATCAACGTCTAAATGAGAAAAAAGTTTCCGATAAATACCCACTTCCTAGGATTGATGATCTATTACATATTGCAAAACAAACAAAGTATGTGACAAATCTTGATTTAAAATCAGGATACCATCAAGTCTCTGTCCGCGAATCTGATCGAGATAAAACAGCATTTATTTGCCCATTTGGAATTTTCCGTTATACGAGGATGCCATTTGGAATGAAAAATGCACTCTCCACCTTCCAAAGACTCATTGATCTATTCAAATCCGGAATCCAAGGTAGTATTCGCCTTTGTGTCAATTATCAACGCCTAAATGAGAAAAAAGTTTCCGATAAATACCCACTTCCTAGGATTGATAATCTATTACACACTGCAAAACAAACAAAGTATATGACCATGGATTTAAAATCAGGATACCATCAAGTCTCTGTCTGTGAATCTAATCGAGATAAAACAGCATTTATTTGCCCATTTGGAATTTTCCTTTATACGAGGATGCCCTTTGGAATTAAAAATGCACCCTTCACCTTCCAAAGACACATTGATTGATTCAAATCCGGACGCCAAGATTTGACCATATTAGCTTGTATAGACGATTTGATTGAATTATCCAGAACTTACCAAGAACACCTTTCTGATTTACAACGAATTTTTGACCGACTTGTAGCTTCACCTCAATCATTCCAAATGCCATTTTGTGTGCTCCTCTGTGAAGTATTTGGGACACGTAATTACACCCAAGGAATCCAACCAAATCCTTCTAAAATTACTGCTATTCTGGAGAGACAACCTCCCAAAAATGTGAAAGAGCTTTTGTCCTTTGTCCAAACATGTTATTGGTTCCGGCGATTCATTTCTTCATTTGCAGAAGTTTCAGAGCCCTCAACCTCCTTAACCAAGAAGAAAGCTATTTGGAAATGGAAGGAGAAAGAACAAGATTCTTTCGACCTCATGAAACAACTTTTGACTACTAATCTCATACTCAGACAGGCTGATAGTACATTGCCTTATATACTCAGAACTGATGCTAGTTCATACGCTTTAGGGGCAGTTTAACTCCAAGGAGAGAAGACCGATGAAAGACCTGTTGAATATGCAAGCCGACTACTCACACCTACTGAGATGAACTATCACACTACAGAAAGAGAAGCTCTAGCAGTTGTGTGGGTTGTGGAGAAATTAAGAGGCTACCTGGATGGAACTAAATTCATCACCCAGCCATTGAAGTGGTTAATGTCTTTAAAATCACCTAGTGGTCGATTAGCGCGATGGGCTTTTTCTTTACAGGGCTATAACATGAGAATTGAATATAAACCTGGAAAGGTAAATGTAGTGGCTGATACTTTATCCCGGCCACCACTAGAAACGTCTCAGATAGAGGAAAATGTTAGTTAGTTGAGTTATTGCTGAATTTCCCAGAAAAAAAAAGAAGACATTAGAAGGAAACAGTTAGAAGATCCTGATGTATTAAAAATAATTTCTTGTTTTGAATCAACGGATCCTGAATCAGTGGAATTTAAGACATGGACTGACCGCGGTTACATTATGACCGAAGAGAGTTTCCCACGGTATCGAAAAAGTTCCCACGCTCAAGTGCCTTCAGCTATTACATTAATACCCACCTCTACTACGTTAAAAAGCTTTCACTTTGAAAAGGTATCTCTTTCCATATCTCTTCACTTTATTGAAAACTAAAGAATATTTAAACAATTCGTGCACTTGTATTCGTCAATAGTGTTTTAAATGCCATGGGATGTAGAAGCTCTTGAAATTATTCAAAATTAAAAGCAGACCGGCGTTAAAAGTAGAGTGTTTTCACAGCTATCAGACCACATACCCACCTCTACCACGTGAAACCCCCTACAGCACAGCCATCATACCACAACCCACCTCCACTATAAACCCCTTTCCGTAAAGCTCCTGAGCACTTTTTTGACTCAAGTGCACCTAGCTATCAATACCCACCTCTTCTACGTGTAAATGGTCCACCAGATTCACAAATTTTGGGATTGGCCCGGGTCAAATTCTCAAAATTTCAGATCAAAGGCACCGATTTTCCCACGGTATCGAAAAAATTCCCACGGTTAACCCACCCGGGTCAAATTCCCAAAATTTCAGATCAAAGCCGCCGATCTAAAGATTTTCTCACAGTATCGAAAAAGTTCCCACGGTTGGCTCGGGTCAAATTCCCAAAGTTTCAGATCAAAGGCGCCGAGCTAGACATTTTCCCACGGTATCGAATAAGTTCCCGCGGTTGGCCCGGGTCAAATTCCCAAAATTTTAGATCAAAGGCGCCGATTTTCCCACGGTATCGAAAAAGTTTCCACGCTCAAGTGCCTTCAGCTATCAAACCAATACCCACCTCTATTAGTGGTGACATAAGGTAAACAATAATGGTAACTGTCCCTCAACTACGTGATGACCACTGCACGTATTTTATACCAGCTCCCAACCGGAAAGTCACTCGGATATCAACCAAAAATGCAGGAATCAAGGCCACCCGAACCTCAACCAAAAGTAGAGGGAGGAGGCATTCGGACATCAACCAAGCATGCAGGGAAGAGCGGCCCCCGGACCTCAACCAAGAGTGAAGGAAAAAGGCATTCGGACATCAAACAAGAATGCAGGAAATAAGGGCCACACGGACATCAACCTAGAATGCAGGAAATGATGCCATCCGGACATCATCCAAGAGTGGAGGGAAAGAAGCATTCGGATATCAAGCATGCCTGTACAAAGGTTACCCGGATATCAAGTAAGAGTGTAAGGTAGGGTCGCAGGATAGGGACTTGACAACCCTACTCAGAAATGGGATTCACTGGTTTGCAAAATTAGCTGCAGGACTTGACTAGATATTGCAGGACCTTGTAGGGCTTGACAAGACCCATACAGGACTTGGCAGGACCTGACGGGACTTGTAAGAAATGATATGTAGGTGTAGGTACTGGTTTGGCGGTTGGTTATAGAGACGCAGAACCTGACATGACTTTGCACAGGAATTGTGCTAAAATTTTAATTCCACACACTACATTCAATCAACACTCCCTATATTCAATACTGAAGAGTTTTTCGTTAGTTAGCCAATTTCATCAGCAGGTACTGAGGTCCTTGTGGTATTTTGAGCCAATATCCCTTTGCTTTGTTTGCTAGAATATTCGCTCGTCAGGGTAGGAAAGTGTTAGTAGATTCAACAAGGCCCTAATGCATGTTCCGATTTACAAAAATTAAAATCCCAGCACAAAAGACAGTACATAATTTTTCTAGGTTTTAATTGACCCTTTTTTTATCTTATCTGCGTTGTTTACAGCAAGAAACAATTTTTGGTAAATACATGAACTCGCAAAAACAAAATAACATTTATTCAACTGACCTGTGAATGCTCCTTATGACACACAAACTAATCACAAATTGGATTGAACAATCAATGAAAAATTGAATAATGAATAATGACGAACAGACAAACTTTTTCTCTAGTCCCTCATTTTTCTGTCTCTCTACCCTTCGGTACCTTTGCTTGTGGCGCGTCCCCGTTCCCATAAATTTCACTGCGCATACATGGTTGCAACATTTACTTGTCTTTTGTTAACGTTCAAAAAAGTTAAGATTTGAAGAAATAATATCTTTTATAGGTGGTTTTGTTCAATATATCTAGGAAAATCCACAATATTAGAGGGTACACGATCAATGCGTTCTGCCTGATCTAACGAACAGAGCCCAAACAAATCATAAACAAAATGGGAACAGCACATGGATATAGGAAATTCACAAGTGGGAAAATCACCTGTGGTCCATTTGACCAGAATCAAAGAGAACAGATAGAGACCATAATAATGAAAAGGCATTCTTAAAAAATAAGTTACCTGTACAACAAAGTTCCTGCTACCAGAGCTGATACAACAGCTGACACTGCAACTAGAACAAATAGGACGCTAAATCCAGGTACAGGCATGCATATTCCATAAACAACTTCTTCCCGTATTCTTCCCTGAAAAATCAAGTTTATATTTAAATATTATAGAACTAGGAACTAAGTACTTAAATGGTTCAATTAAACTCTTCTAAACTGCTGTTGAACTGGAATAACCAATTAAATTTTTGATTATCTGATAATGATAAATCTCAAAGCCTTATAAAGTATAATAATGACTCGATTTGATTTGGCTCTAAAAGGTAATCCTTAAATACCTTAATCTTGATAAGATGCAACTAACAATTATTTTAAGCCTAAATTAATTATTTAATTACAAAATACAGGAACCCAAATGTGGAATACATTGTGTGATGTAATATAAATCCGAGCCACTAAAAGCGGAAGTATTAAACTATCAAAAAAGGTAATATGGATATAAAAATTACTGAAGGCATCTTAATCTCAATATCCATTAACGCACCATAAACTTTTCAAATGCCAGATTAAATGACTTTATTATCTTTACTGAAACGTCTCTTATCTTACTTAACACTTACTTAAATTGTAGAATGATACATCTACTTACTTGAAATACTGTGACAGCTTCAGCTCTACTATCAGGACTAAAAGCCAAATCGGCTTCAGATATAACTTCGTATATTCCACTGACTCCTACATCGGCACTTCGTGCTTTTCTATCTGATATCACCATGGATCTTCTTCTTCGGTTGGTTTTCTCCAACTAAAACAAAACTTTTGTTAATGACCTATCCAATTATTTTCAGATAAGACTGGTTGGATTTAGGACGGTGTAAAATATTCAGGGCAATCCACCAAAGATAAAACTTCGGTTTAAATTTTAAAATATTGGAATTGCGTGTGTCTTACGGAATCAGCAGTACTATATTTCTACTTATTAAAAAATATTTAATAGAAAAGTGAAGTTAGTTACCAATGCCAATGGTACAGCAATTGTCTGATTCGAAGCATTAACTTCCGTCCTATTATCTTTATTTTCTTTGCCTATTTTCGATTCTTTCAAAACTGGTGTATCCGTATCGGTAAGGCTCCTCGGTGCGGCAGCTGGAATCTCTAATTTCCTAGGACCATGCGGGAATTTTTCTTGGTTCATTTGGAACATCTCCTGGAAAAAAAAGTAAATACATCGTATTTATTTTTAATTACCGAGTGATTTCCGCTAGATCCCATTCTTAAGTACTAAACAGAAAAAAAACTATTATGCCCAGTTACATCCCATCCAATGCCTCGGTATGTAAACTAACAACTTAAACGGACAGATATGCGTTGGAACTCACCATCCAATACCGATCGTTAAAAAAAACCTAGAATGGCCGAATATAACGGCGAAAATACCATAAAGACAAAGTGTTTATGGCTTTTAATTACCTATCTAAAAGGCATTTTAGAACCGTAAAAACGGTGCACATTCTAGTTGTGCGTCGCCAAGTATTTGAGAAGAAAAAAAACTTATGGTCCGCATTGTGTAATGTTTGTTCATTATGGCTTAGAACTTCTCAGTATTCGAAGTGTATTTAAATGTTTTTGTATGCAGACACTATTTTCTGGAGTAACTGTTTTTGAAATTAAAGGTTAATGTTGATCTTCAACAACAAGGCTTAAACTGTTTTTACTGATCAGTTGCTATTTATTTTACATTGTAGAATTGAGATTAAGAAGACTAATCATTACTTGTAACTATTTGTTACTTTCATATTTACTTATGCTGTAATAATCACGGGCTATCGGTAAATCCGGATAAAACCGAAGTAGTACAATTTATAAAGAGAAGAAACGTGGGTGTGGAAGGGCTCACGCTCATCCAGTTCGGTCAGATATCTAGGAGTCATCAGTGACTCAAGGCTGACCTGGAAATATCACGTCAACAGGGTTGTCCAGAGGGTTACTGCAGAAGATCCATCAGACTCACCTGGGGCTTGTAGATTGTAAGGGAAGTCGTTTCGGCTTTCCAGCCGCTCAGCACTGCTATCTTTGCAGATATTTTGTACATGACTCTACATGTTAAATTGTCTCCAAGAGGCGTAGACTTCTGCCGAAGGAAGCTATTTTTCTGGGTGTTAGTTGGCCCACGTCTTCTGGTGACAGTGTTGCCCCCTCGAGGAATTTGAGCCTCTTGCAGAATTGCGAAGGACATTCGCAGAGCAGGTACTCTGTGGTCTCTATTGCGTCTGAGCAGAATCTGCAGAGATCGTCTTCTGCTCTGCCCATAAACATTTAGTGGTATTTCACCAGGCAGTGTCCCGTGAGCAGTCCTATGACCATTCTGATGTCTGGTCTGCTCATGTTTAGGAGCTATTCAGCTCTTTTTCCTGAAAGGGTGATAAGCATTTTTGACTATCTATCTTAGTGCCAAAGTATGCCTTCAATATGATGACAATAGTTTTCCCATTTTTTGAGTTCATCCATGATGTGGCTTTTCATTAAGCCACAATAGCGCTCTGGTCCATGGTATGGTGTTGAGGCCCCTTCTTTTGCGAGGGCATCTGTCTCTTCGTTTCCTTCTATTCCTCAATGACCAGGCAGCCACAGTTAGGGCCAGAAATGCCCAGTCCAGCTCCTTCCGTTAGTTTGGGTCCACCTGTCACTCTTTGTACCACAGAGATGCATTGTCTGCTTATGCTAATTCGTTATTCTTCCATGATTGGCGCTCGTTTATTACCACTGCGAGTGGGATCTCTAAGTCCAATCTGACCATCATGTGGTCGCTTGGTTTCCTGGCATTTTCCAGTTTTATTATTTCAAAGATGCGCAGATGTCCCCTCAGATCACCAGGCTTGAACTTGTCTGTTTGGAATAGCTTGTGAGTGCTGATTATTGCCTCCTTTATAACACATAGGTGAAGTGGAGGCATGTTAAGCAGCGTCTCTAGGGCTGCGGTAGGGCAGGTCGAAATTGCTCCCGTTATTCCTAGGCATATCAGTCTTTGCACCTTGTTTGGCTTGATCTGAGCGGTGACTTGCTGAGTTTTGGGGCACCAAACCAATGAGGCGTATGTGACCATGGGATTTATTATATTGTCACAACCCCTATACGTTTCGTCCTGGGACGTCACAGCAGGAGCGTGACCTGGGGGCGTAGGTGGGGTTCAGGTAGAGAGAAACTCGCTTGGTATAGGTATAATAAGATAATGTATTGAATAATAATAATATTACCCTAGAAATAGAATCATGACGTCTTTTCTACGGAGGGACGTACTACTTATAGGCCACTCTGTATTATGTAGTATGGCGTGACTGAAGGATTGAAGGACTGAAGCTGGGCTTGAGACGAGCCCAGAAAGGCGTTTCCCAATAAAGGTAGTTTGCACTGGACCTAGTCTGCTGCATTCAATGCTCCCAGAAAAAGGTAGGTTTGAGACAGGTCCAGAAGGGCGTTTCCCATTAAAGGTAGTTTGCACTGAGAGGAGACTTAGCTAGGGGTGTTTTTCCATTAGAGGTACGTTGCACTAGCCTTAGTCTGCCGGTAATGGATTTCAGCGCGGTATTTATACCAAATAAATACTGACTCATCGACACACTTTAGTAAAATTGACGTACAGAGTGGTATGCACTTAAGTAGTAAATCCAGAATACCTTCTTTGGCTTTAGCCCCCATGTTTCACCAACCAGTTTGCGGCATGCTATATCAGCCATCTGATATAGCTCACTAGGATCTAGCCGTAGCAGATTCGTATCGATTTCATATACGCGCGCAACCTCGATGGGTCAGTTGATTATCGACTGTATCGACTATCGAGAAATTTTAAATTTAAACCTAACCTAAAGAAATTAAATTATTCAAATCGTTTGTGGAGTGTGGATGCCCTGGATGGAGTATTCTATTCCATCATTGTGTTTTTGTAACAAAACGGCCTAAAAGTCCTTTTTTTTGCTTCGTAATACAATCAATTGTTTTTTTTCCAGCGAGATTAAGTCGCTAAATTTCTGACGAAACCGTGTCAAGAGCCAAGGGTTATCAGTCGGATCCCGAAACCGTGTCCTGATTGTGTCTTTAAATACGACTCTCGACTCTTGGTTCCATGAACAAACCGCATGTTTTGTAAGAAAAAATTATTCTTTTATTTCCTTTGGAAAATCCCAAGCTAGCATTCCAACTAACTTCGTACAGCTCAGGTAGCAAGAACCCGCACTGGCAGAGGCAATCTAATCAGATCACTAAAAAGTATCCGTTCAAAGTTACCTAGTTTTTCAGTGGGACTTTAAACAAAGTCCCTGGTGGCACGCTTCCGCAGTACAAAAAGGCCTTTACCAGTGCTAAAACAAAGTCTCCCTTACCCAACCATCGCAACCAGGTGGCGGTGGAAACATTGACAACAGGTTTTTCAAGTTTTTGGTGGCGGTTTTGTTATTTGTTGTTGTTGTTGTTATTTGTTATTGTTGTTATTATTTGTTATTGTTTGGTATAATCGGTTAAGTGTTAGAGGGTTTTCAATGGAAAATGGAACACTGTGGTGATGGTGATGGTGAAATTTCCCAGGAAATTTCGTACAATTCCAGCATAGAGCCTCCTATAAAGAGGTAGCATCCAGGTAACTAATATGAAATTCCCCCCCCCCCCCCCAATATCGCCATTCGCCATTGTTTTGATATTTTCCGCAATAGTTTCAAGTTAATTAAATTATTCGGAGTCCGAACCCGTGGCTGAACAAGCTCTGAACGTTGCGTCGATCTGCGCGTAGCGATATAATCCGCTGGAAATACGCAAGCATGCATACATCGGGATGAAATCGATGCGCATCAGGCTAAGGCTATACCTTAGTATACATATAGCTCTAGAACATGTTTTCTCTAACTGTTCGTTCCAAGTAAGTTCCAGAGTGAAAATGTTAGTGTTATACCGTTAAGAGTGGGGGCTTCCTTCTTCTTGTGAACGGGACAAGATTGACAAGAATTGTTACGCTTGGGTTCAGGGACAATCCCTCGCCTTCACTCCAATTCACCTGGGGCTTTAAACCCTACATAGTTCACTAGCTTTACACAGCAGTGACAAGCCCAACGGTCATCATAGTTTGGTGGAATGCGCTAAGCAAATCCACCTACAGGGAAAAGCTGAACAAGCTCCAACGACTTGTCTGCATAGCTACAATTGGAACCTTCAAAACCACCCCAACGTTGGCAATGGAGGCCGTACTGGGAATGATGCCTCTTCATATATTTGTGGAGGCACGGATGCATCAGTCAGACTCGACGATTGGGGACATAGAGACTTTGAGACGTGTAAGGGTCTGGACTGATACCAACAGACAGGATCCCTTTCTCACCAGAAGGGATGCATTGCCAAAAACATCAGCCCCCCCTAAACAATACAAGGTCGTCATCTCTGCAAGGGACGACTGGTTAGAGCCTGACCCAGGTTTCTTGAAGCCGAAAGGGCTCATCTGGTATACAGACGGGTCTCTGATGGAAGAGGGTGCAGGGGCTGGTATATATGGGAAGAGACCTGTGGCGAGAATCAGCCTTGCACTATCTCGATACCCCACGGTATTCCAGACTGAGATCTACGTCATACAGGTGTGTGCTCAGGAGAATCTGTAGAGAGGTTACTCAGGTAAGCATATTTATATATGCAGCGACAGTCAGGCAGCATTCCCAGTCCTTTGCTCAGTAAAGGTTCAACTTAAGGCTCACGCTTGATTGTATGACAACTCTTGAACTACTTAGAGGGCTCAACAAGGTCACCCTTGTTTGAGTCCTGGGTCACAGGAGCATAAAAGGCAACGAGGTGGCGAACCAGCTGGCTCGTGAAGGAAGCAACACTGCCTTTATTGGGACAGACTCTGCACTGCCTTGTGAAAACCAAGATCAGGAACTGGTCCAACAAACCAGTTCCAAAATGAATGGCTGGATCAAAGAGGCCTCAGACAGTCAAGAATCTTTATATAAGGTCCTTCAAACTACAAAGAGGCAAAAAGCACAGTGCTCTGAAGGGGTACTGGGTGGTCAGATACCACCTGCACAAAATCGGACTCAGTAATGAGATGGAATGCAGGTTCTGCGGTGATATAGATGAAACCACCAAGCATATAGTCAGCGTCCTTGTCGTCTCAGGGTGTAGAGCTTCCCGATATAGAACGAATGTTTTATCCTCGTCAACTTAATCGAAAAGTAAACAAGAATGATAAAGACGAAAAATTTGTTCTCTCGAGGAGCTCTACTCTCTCAGACGAGAATCCGGTCCCTGAGTGGGTCTACAACTTTCCTAAAAGTTGCGGGCTTCTTAAGGTAATACAGAACTGCACAATGGGCAACTTGCTCGTTTACGTGCTGCCTGTGAAGGCAAATCAATCAATAAAAAACTAAAGAAACCCACCTATTATTCCCAATCAACAGAAATTTCGAGCCGATAAAAATTAAATTACACCAAAAAGAAAATAAGTAATCCTACCTTGTGTGGCATTGAATGAATTTCCATTTCTTCCATATCCAAATCATCGTCATCTTCATCATCCATGTCACCATCGTCCTTGTTGTCAGGAAGTCGTTCACTTTTATCATTATTTCTGTCATCCCCTTTCAATTGATTTTCTTTCGAATTTATCATCGTAGGTTTTTTCCATTGTTTCTTGGGGTTGGGTTTGTTCATGTTGGCATTCAGAGACATTTTAATCGATGGGATCTCTTCACCCGAAGACATCGCTGCCTTATTCTCATGAATAATGTCATCGTAAATCATGTCCTGTTCACTAATGGATTGTTCACCGGAATCAGTGACTCTAGCATTTTCAAATAAATGTATTATTCAATTTTCAATTAACTGATTAACTAACCTGTCTTTTATTTCTCCCGATGATATCTTTTCATCCTTTCTTTGTAAAGGATTCATATAATGTTCAAAATCAACATCCAGACCTGAAGCTTTATTTGGTTGTAACTGACAGTGATCCAGACATCCGTGTCGGCAGATTTCTACTTTACATTTAATGTGGACGCTTAGTGCATCAGGGAACTGTAACATAGAATTTTTTTATAAATCAGTCAATTACATCATTGTCACCAACCTATAAATCATAGCATAACTTATTAAACCACGTTTCAAAGACATTAAATTATAATTGCCTTTACAGACGTTATTATGAGCAGAAAGATGATAAGCGTAAAATTGATAGAAGATCTACGTGAACATAAATCTAAATACATTATAATGTTAAATCGAGTTAGCGTTGCATTGCAAATCCTTATAAGTCAATACAATAGGAATAAATGATGGGATTGTACCAATCGTGGGAGGGAAATAAAACCAAGTAGAATACATTGAAATTCTTACCTTAAATGCATGGAAAAATGCATAAGTTATCACAGAAGCTCTTTCGTCGGCGCCTCTAGCTTTCAAAAACCTGCTTATCATTTTTGGCCTTAGAACACATCCAAATTCGTCAGAGAGTTGGATCACGTGTCCGCCACCATCTGAGGCAACGCACGATTTTACACGCATGTCAAATTCACCTGAAAATCGAAATCATGATTAATTTGGTACTATCAGGTGATTAACTAAGATTAATAAGTACTGGCCTTAAAAGGTATAGCTTTAATAATTTGAATTAATTTTATAATTAAATATAGACTTGAATTCATTAAACGATTACCCTAATTAAGTAGGTATAACACAAAAGTACTAAGGAAACAATAATCTAGCGTATAATATCGCTGGTACAAATCTTGATGGATATGCCCAATTTAATACTAGGGATTACCGACCATTTACGCTCTTCCAAATGAAACAAACACATGCTAAGAACATTACCTGTATTGCAGTAGAACGCTTAAATCTAAACGATAGACATCTCGAAAAAAATTCTATGTATACTTGAAATTGCAAAAGAGAGTTCATAAATATCAAAACGAGTACCAGATGGCTATCTTGTGGTTATTTTTATTGTTCTGAATCTGTTTGATTGTTGCAGGAAACTTTTGTCGGTAACTGCAGAACATTTTATTTCTTATTTATGTTAATGGAATGAACTAGGATGTAACAGAGAAATTTGAAGCATACTTTGTTTTCAAAATAGTCAAGAATTTAGATTTAATATTTATTTTATGCTTGATACTTCAAGGAATTCAAGACCACAGTTTACTTCTTACATGACTTGTCAAAGAATCGAATGTACATATTTTTGATGAAATCTCATAAACATTTATTTTCTCAAACAAGCTGCGTTTGTTCAGGTCCCTTGTATGATCTATTTCCCAGACGCTTTTGTCTACAAACTTCAATATTGTAATATTCCTCGACTTTTTGGTCTAGAAGTTGTATATCATCCAGGTATACTAGACATATTCTATTCTGTAATCCTAGTAATACATTATCCATCACTCCTTGGAAGATTGCTGGTGCGTTCTCTAATCCAAAGGGCATTCTGTTAAACTGGTAATGATCATTTTGCTGTCTTGGGTATCGAATTTCCATGCATCACGACTCGATGAAAGCCAGAGGCAACCACTCAAGTATAGGGTACGGTTCTCTGACGAATGAACGAACAGAAAACTGCGATTTTGGCGGTTGTGACATCACAAGTTCCTGCATAATTTATCTTCACCAGGAATTTTCTCGGAGACTATTTTGAATATAGGACTGCGGTTTACATAAGTGATCTTAGAATTTTTTTCTTGAGCTTAGGTCGTTTTTAAGGGTCACACCCTTTAAGATTTTGAAAACTAATAATTTTACAGCAATTTTTTTTTGGTTGCTAACTTCACCCTTGGCAAGGCACTGGAAGCAGGATCGCTTGTGTTGCTATGGTCCTGCCGTATTCTGCTCCAATTTTCACCGCAGCAACACCTAATGTTTTTGAGATACACATTGGTAGCATTTCAAGAGTCTAATCGTAGGAATAGGCAGAGCTCGAGACACCGTTGCCAAATATATCGTAATTTCTGCTTTTCTTTATATGTTGGTATTTTAGACGAAAAGAGCTAATCCTAACTAACCCGTCCCTCTGTAATAAATGCGAGCCTCTGTGTCTTGGTATTTTACAGAGACAAGCACTCATTACGATCCCTTTGTAATATTTCTCGAATTTTTGGTCTAGAAGTTGTATATCATCCATGTATACTAGACATATTCTATTCTGTAATCCTAGTAATACATTATCCATCATTCTTCGGAAGGTTGCTGGTGCGTTCTTTAATCCAAAGGGCATTCTGTTAAACTAGTAATGACCATTTTCAACATTAAATGCTGTCTTGGGTATCGAATTCTCATGCATCTCGACTTGATGAAAGCCAGAGGCAACCACTCAAGTATAGGGTACGGTTCTCTGACGATTGAACGAACAGAAGACTGCGATTCCGGTGGTTGTGACATCACAAGTTCCTGCATAATTTATCTTCACAAGAAATTTTCTCGGAGACTATTTTGAATATAGGACTGCGGCTTACACGAGAGATCTTAGAATTTTTTTCTTGATTTAAGTAGCTTAAGTCGTTTTTTAGGGTCACACCGCCTTCAAGATTTTGGAAACTTTTTGCTCGTAAAACTCTAACAGCCGTATTCAAGATCCTCTTTTAACTTTGAAAGCGCTTCTTAAACTTGTCAATTTTAAAAATCTGTATTCTAAACGTTAAGCAAACTTTTCTGAAATTGACTGCTTTCAAAGTCGCTTTTAAAGTTAAAAGATGTTTAGTTTAATCATCCTCTTTTCTCATTTCCTACTGTTAGCTTCCCCCTCGGTTCCAGAACTTTCTCCGAATCTTTGTGTTCTGTTTTCGGTTGTTTACAAGTTCGGAGTTCGCTCAATACTCCGCGAACAAAATAATAACAAACCCACGTGATCGGCAATAATACTTCGAATGAAAGTTTATATGGACACTCATCACTCATCAGTGTCATCTCTTAGCTCGTGAAGTTTAACCCAAAGTCGCTTATAGTTGCTCACTGCCTTATGTTTTTATCATCGTCATTTAAATATTTAATTGATAGGAAATCAATAGCATTTATGTTAATTAAAGAAATCAAAGAAAACGGCATCGTCAATATACCAGCAGTCATTTTAGCCATTTACAAATCTGCGATCTTATCGGAAAAGTCAAAGAAACATTCTTGTATTGAGGAATTCAAATAACTTTAGCCTGATGCCTTCGAGTCCAGTACCGTAACGTGATATTTGCAATCGTCTATGCATGCAAAACGATACTGAAGATTCATTATAGAGATAGCTTTATGGTTTTTATCTTGTAATCGAAAACTATATAGCCAATAAGACAGCTTGTATTATTTAGTTTTTGGTTACAAGTTTCTCAGGAAATATAATTGGATTGTTGTCCCTTTACTTTTAATAATTGCTTGAAAATTTCCCGGTCATTAAAATAAAATTCTTTATTTATCACCTGTGCAGAAAATTGATGGTCTGAACACTGGTAATTTATCTCGGGGTACCGATGTTAAGGAGAGTAGTGCCTTTGAAATAATACGATATGGGCAGTGGTTATTGCAAACATCTCTATACACCAGGTACTATAGAGATAGTACCAACCATTTGTTATATTATTTCAATCGTTACATTGTTATTTGCACGTAATAAATTATTGTTACAACCTTTGTAGGATAACTATGATAATGGAAATATAATGTTTCAGGTCTGGTGAATTTTCAGTATGTCTGTTTGACTATGGTTTCGCATTTATGTGTGCGATATTTTACGATTATTATTGCTTTACTATTTGGAACAAAATTATGGAGTGAAGCAAATTAACCCAACAACACAGTCCGTCAGGTCTCCTGGACCAGGTAAAATTCATATTGAGGAAAACCACATATTTAAAATATTATTTCCTCAAATCTTAACTTTTTAAAATGTTTCCTAGAGAAATGATGGTAAAAATTGCAACCATGTATATGCATTGTGTAGTTTAGGGGTGAACGAGTTCGCGCCACAAGGAATGGTACCGAAGGGTAGATAGAAGAAAATGAGAGACTAGAGAAGAAGCTTGTCCCTTAGACCACTTGTCCGCCATTGTTCATTATTCAATTTTTATTTTGTTTTAAACTGATTGTTCAATCCAATTTGCGATTAATTTGTGTGTCATAAGGAGCATTCATTGATATTGTCTCAAAATAACAACTAAGCTGAGTAAGCCTCCCGTAAGGGACCTCAGTACCTGCTGACAGACTGGCCGATAGGCCGATTGAATGTAGTGTGTGGAATTAAAATTCTAGCACAAGGGGGGTACCTAATTCAAAACTTTCATTGACTCACAATGATTATTAAAATGACCCAGTATGTTTTGATTTTTGAGGAATGTAGATCGAGAGTTTATCTGCCCTGCTCTTTTCCCTCGTTTGTTCCAGGTCGAGAACGGTACAAAGGCAGCACTTTCGTCAAACGGAATCACCAAAGGGCATCAGTTAGCGGGTAACGAAAAGTCATTAGTTAGCGTGTAATAAGAGCGGTCAGTGAGCTTTTTACCCAAAGGGATTTGTTTCCAGAAAGAAAAATGGGAATTTAGTAAATAGAAAATAAAGGACATTGACTCCTCTCTAGGGTAAGATAACTTAAGAGGTGAGACGTTTCAAATTGATCCTGATGCAGGTAGTAATGTCTTATTTCATAATACTTTAATGCATAGTTATCAAATGATGATTGATAGAATTATTGTACTAGCTTTACGATTCAATGATGTAGGCACTTATTATAATCAACATATAATCAAAGTCTAGACATGAATCTATTATTCAAAGAAAATTAGCAAATTCAATCAGGTTTCTCTATAGATATGTAGCCTGCGTTGTCGTCGTCCATCGCTCTAAAAATAAAAAAACCACAATAAAAAATCCCCTCGAAGACTCGATCGGTTACCGTTACTATTAAACAGTTGAATTCTCGATATTTAATTAACATTGTGTCTGTCATCTTACCGGTCGTACTTTAAAGCGTACCGACTCGAATATATAAAATGGGTGGCATACATCTGTTAAATCGTATAACTACGTGATTTAAATGTTATTTATAATATTAATAAGTTGTAAATTTGCCGTGTTATATGCCGGAGTGTTTGCCTTTATGTCGGATTATGCATGAGCAGTTGGGAATATTAATCGATTGGTTGGTGGCCTGTGACTGATTTAAAACTGTGTGTGATTCTATGCGAAATCGTAGTACACCGTTAGAACTATTTTTCTAATAAAAATATAGAAAATAAAATTTTCCATTCCTAAACCTAATCTAAATCTACCTCTAATCAATATTGTCAATTCTACCAGAATACATTATATGTGCAGTGCAATCAAATATCTTTGGTATTCCATTAGGAAATAAATCAATTCTCACCTCGATAGTCATTTATAGCCACTACTAGAGTAAGCGTGGATCCAAGTGGTACTATACCACTGACAGGTGGCGCCCAAGGTCCTTTACCGTGCTGAATTTCCATCCAGCAATCCACATTGTCACCTGAAAAAAAGCAAAAGTGATGATTACCTGTTAGTTTTCATTAAAATCCAACATTAGATAGGGTGAGATAAGAATAATATGATCTTAAGCTTCTCTTACACTAACAATAATGTGCAATATAGGATATTTTTTTCGATGTTGTGACTATGTTTTGAAAGCTAGTTTGTAACGTAACATGATTTTGAAATACGGTAGAATTTGAATAATTTCTTTTTGTTTTGTGCAGAGATCACCGAACCCGACACTATCCAGTGTCACATTGGCGCCCAACGTGCAGCCTCTCGAAAAGACTGTAACCACAGACATTAAATCGACACTGTATTTCGTTGAATCAGTTCGATTTCATCATTTCAAAGTGTTTCTTCATGATTATGTAAGTTTTGCCTGTGAGCCAATCCAGTTTTGCAGGTGATCCGATATCATGAATTAAAATCATACGTGTCCTATCTTATACGAGTCCTGCCACATCCGAGTCCGACTGTATGATTTTATAAAGTGGAAAAATGGTACCAAATAATTCAGAATTAGCCAAGTTGACTGATAATAACGACGAAACCCCTATTGTTCAACAAATTGTTATGACGCCATGGAATACAGAATGTTCATGTAAGTCAGCCTACTCAACAATCAAGTGTTAGTGTGCAGGCCAATTTTTCTGGATGTAAGTCCCGTTTTGATGGAAGCCTGGGAAGAGATGTTGAAGCATTCATTGATGCAATTGTGGTCTATAAGGATTGCCTTAATATTCTAGATCAGCATGCTATGGAAGGCCTGTCAATGTTGTTGGAAGATTCTACAGCTACATGATGGCAGGGCATTAAATCCTCAGTCAACACCTGATGAGTTTACTTAAGTTCCTTTATCATTTTGTCTGCGAAACGTAAATGATTCAGGTAATTTCCGACTTCGGTTTAGGAAGACGTAACACCAGAGGTCCAAGCATGTTGGATTTTTTATGCAAAGAAAATGTCTACTGCTCTCACTTTTACAAAAAAACACCTACAAGAAAATGGACGTGGAAGGGTCCAGATGGTATTACGTGTAACGAAATAAACTATATACTGGCTTCGGACAGGAAAATATGCGACGTATTCTGTATCTTAAGGTTACATTGAAATACCGGCCCTTAATTCACTATTTTGTTATTGATTTTCGATTGTCTTGTTCTAATGGCAATGTCAATAATGTCGAAACAAGTTTCCAATTTTGATTATTAGCTGCTCTTGGAGAATTTTTTGATATTCTTTTTTTTTGAGATGTTTCAGTTATCTTAGTGTGGCGAGATCAATCGTTAATTAAATCCTTGTTAGAAAACAATAGCCTTAGATTGTGTCACACACAAACACTATTATATGGACATTGAAACAATCTATGGGTTTTGTTAACTAACAAGGAGTTAACCAATGAATGATCTAGCCGCACTTAAGAGAAAATTTTGAAGCCCTTGAACCATATCTGCTAAGGTTTTTCTCCCCTCTATGCCATCATTCTCTCTGTCTATTGTCATCAATGGCCGAGCTTTTGATTATTCACATATAGGTGGAATTTTCTCCTTATAGATTGTGGCTTACACAAATTTTGATATTTTTGACGAATCCAATCCATAGGGTAATCGTTTTACCGTTCTTTAAAGTGAAACAAACAACGTTCTCTACCTGAAATGTTGATGGGGCGTTTTTGAGACCAAATGGCATACGAACAAACTCGTAATGACAATGATCAAAGATATCTTAACAAAGATAGATGTTATGTATAAACTGAAGTTTGTTCTGGATGTTATGCTCGAAACCGGGGAACCATGTCCTCATGAAAACCATTGCTTTATCTTTGTCAGTGTTATAGAAATATTAATATGAGCGACGAAGAAAAGAACCTTCGTTCTCATAAGAACGTAACTCCCCTATTTTGGGAATAAGGATCCTGATGGCCCCCACAAATTGTATCTTTTCGATATTTGTGACGAATTCAATCCATAGGGTACCTAACCGTTATACCGTTCTTTGGAGTAAAACAAACAACGTTCTCTACCTGAAATGTTGATGGGGCGTTTTTGAGATCAAATGGCATACGAATAAACTCGTAATGACAATGATATCTTAACACAGATACATCTTATGTATAAACTGATGTTTGTTCTGAATGTCTATGTTCGAAACCGTGTTCTCATGAGAACGATTGCTTTGTCTTTGTCAGTGTTATGGAAATATGAACAAAAGAACCTTCGTTCTCATAAGAACGCTGCTCTCCTATTTTGAGAATGATGACCTATAGATTCTTTACGACATGCTTATGGATATCTAAAACTTTCACATCAGATATACAGAGAACTTTTCTCACACGAACAAGGTAAAGAAAGAACAGATATTTTGTGAGCAAAGCTCGTGCTTTGATGTCCCATTTAAGAGGTGATTCTACAATCTCCGAACACGTTCAATTAGATATGGTTTATTGAACGTACGTATAAAGGAAAGAAATGCAAAGTGACATATAAAGACCCTATCGAAGCTGCCCGCATCATTGAAGAAACTTTTTTTGAAAACGCGCCTATCAGTAAAGTGAATGTTCGTAAGCAAAACTGCAATTTTTATAAGAATTTTGGACACAATCAAGAAAATTGTCGTAAACTGGCTCGTATACGTTCTGAACACAGCAAAGCCAGCAGTGATGAGTCAAGCACTCCAAATGATACGAGTCCACCAATGAATAATTGTCAACCTACTGCAACATAAAATATTTAGTAGGCCAAATACCCTGTCATGCTACGGTTATGGAACCTCAGATTATGCTGAAAGTAAGTGCCCCAAGTGCTGTAAACATCCAGTTACTCCAACAAATCCTACCAGAACCACAATGTTTGCAGAGTTTCTCAGTATTTACCTAGTTCAATCTGGTCAAGTGGGCTCAGATGATTCTAATAAGACATAATGGTCTCACATACTTTGATTCCAGTGCTGTCAAGCATCGCCGGTTCCCGATTGAGTGAAATTTTATCCGAAAAGCATGTCCCTTATAAACAAAGACAGTTAAACATGACTTTAGCAGATGGTGAAACTACTCAAGTGAATGCTTATGCATTTTGTGTCAGAATCCCATTGGAAGGCAGAGCTCATCACACCACACTCATTTACATTCCTGGACATATCAAAAGTAGGACCTTTCTAGGTGCTGATTTTTCAAAATCTGCCAAGTGCTGGATATACCGAATGACTCATAGTCTTATGGCGATGCTCCTGATCAACAATAAGTTTGCTCGTGATCCATCAATCAACTCTGAATGCACAACAATTGACACTAGCCATATGGCCTTGTCTGAACAGCTGTCACTTCGTGCAGATGAAAGGGAGAAATTATGCCTAGAAGATAAGAGTACTTTGAAGAAACTATTCCATTCTATGCAGATTTGTTCCAACCAATTTCTGAACCGACACCGTTTGCTGAACATTCTATTGATTTAATCGACGATATTCCGGTAGTTCCACCATACCGTATGTCAACAAATTAATGAGTTGCTCGCACAGGAAATTATTGAAAAGTGTGAATCTCCTTATGCTGCGCCTGTGGTGCTGGTTCGGAAGAAGGATGGAGGATTAAGGCTGACGGTGAACTCTAAATGCCAAAACACGCCCAAATCGATACCCATTGCCTAGGATCGATGATACTCTTCATGCAGCAAAGAGAACTCAGTACATGACAACCTTAGATTTGAGATCCGATTATCACCAGATAACTGTTAAGCCTAGCGATAGAGACGAAACCACTTTCATCTGTCCTTATTGGACGTTTCGTTACACTCGATTGCCGTTCGGCTTACGAAATGCACCCTCGACGTTCCAAAGGCTGATTCAGACAGATTCCGTGCTGGCCTTCAGGATCTGAACATACTTGCATATCTTGATGATATGATCATTTTGTCAGAATCATTTGAATCCCATGTGAAGCATCTACAGCAAGTATTTGACCGTCTATGGATGTTCAAACGCAATCAAACTAAAACGATCCAAATGCAGCTTTTCCTGTTACGTACCTTGATCATGTGATCTCACCTCAAGGTATCACTCCAAATCCAGATAAGATAATTACGATTTCCAAGATATCGCCTCCCCGAAATGTTGAAGAACTACTGTTGTTCTTAGTATAGACGCTTTATCGAGAATTTTTCGGAAATAGCCAGACCTTTAACCTCGCTCACAAATTCTCAACCAATGACAATGCACTTCCATTAAAAGAAGGTCGAAAACTATAACATAATATTCTTTTTTTTTTTTCAAAAAGAAATCCTTCAATAATAGTATTATGAATTGGAGTTCTATCAATTTTTTCAAGTTTCCACTATATAAATACCGATTCAATTTATTCTTGTTACTCTCTTGAAACATCTTCATCACTAGGTATTTAACTTTATCTTCTTATTTATCCTGGATCACAAAACTATGTAGGTAGTTCCCTGTTTGAATCCTATTCCTTCTAATATCTCTTTAAACAGTTCTCAAAACATATCGAAATGTATCTTAATTCTTTCTCGAATATAAACGTTTTTACTTTCAAAATTTTCTATAGTTTCATTTTCATATTGTCTCATGAATGATGAAGTAGTTCTCAAACTGAGCTAAAGACGAACCACATTGAATATCTGTCCTCCAAAAGTTCTATAGCCTTGTCAGCTTCACCGCTAGAGATTCAGGGAATGTGGGTTTGATATTGTATTACTCCATCGAAAACAGTTCCAAAATCCTTCAAAAATTAAAAATATCATCAAGAACAGATTTTGATTATTACCCGCTTTTGATTCGTTGGATAATACTTTTGTAGACATTCGATGGTCCAAATTTTAGTTGATGGACATCATGGACTTCACAATTTTGTTAAATGCAATCAAGAGCCAGGAATAGCAAACATATTCATTATTATTGGATTTTCAATTATTGGATTGTACTTCTGAGGGCAAACCAGTGTTGAATAATATTTTTGTAGACATTCAATCTTACTACTGTTAACTGGAATTAATTGAAGTTTGTCCAGATGAACTTATTCCAGGAATCTTGAATAAAAATCTTGTACTGCCAAAAGATTATCTAACATCGATACACATTGCCTAGGATCGATGATTCCCTCCATGCAGCAAAGAGAACTCAGTACATGACAACCTTAGATTTGAAATCCAGTTATCACCAGATAACTGTAAAGCCTAGCGATGGAGACAAAACCACTTTCATCTGTTCTTTTAGGATGTTTCGTTACACACGAACGCCTTTCGGCTTACGAAATGCACTCTCGGCGTTCCAAAGGCTGATTCAAACAGATTTCATTCTGGCCAAGATCTGAACATACTTGCATATTTTGATGATCTGGCGTCGTATTTTCCAATATTCTCGCATACGAAATTTGATACAATTTAATTTACATTGCTGTCAGTCAAATTTCGTGTACGAACTGTACTCGAATGAATTCGAAAATACGACCCTGATCATTTTGTCATAATCGTTCGAATCCCATGTGAAGCATCTACAGCCAGTATTTGACTATCTACGAATATTCAAACTCAATCAAACTAAAACGATCCAAATGTAGCTTTTCCTGTACTTCTGTTACGTACCTTGGTCATGTGATCTCACCTCAAGGTATCACTCCAAATCCAGATAAGATAACTGCGATTTCCAAGATATCGCCTCCCCGAATCGTTAAAGAACTACTGTCGTTCCTGCAGGCGTGTTCCTGGTAACTTTATCTTCTTATTTATCCTTGATCACGAAACTATGTAGGTAGTTCCCTGTTTGAATCCTAATTCTTCTATCTCTCCCAAAACGATGAAGCCATAACAAGGATGCGTGATCAGTGATAACGATAAAATGGATGTGATCAAAATAGTGACGCAACTTCTCAACAGCCCAAATGACAGCAAGACATTCCTTCTCTGTGACAATCAGTTTCATCTCTTGCTTGGTTAAAGACCTTGACATATAGCAAACGACATTTTCACCCTCCTCGTGTTGTTGAGTTTAAACAGCTCCCAGCCCATAATTAGAGGCATCGGTTTGTAAATAAAACATCCTGTCGAAATCAGGTGCAGTTAGAATTGAAGCAGTGACTAAAGATTCTTTGGAGAATGTGAAAGATTTCTGGCAATCTGGAGTCCAGGTGAATTTAACTTTGTTTTTAGTTAAACTAAGAATGGGTGCGAACACCGAAGAAAATTCTGGGATAAAACGCGGATACCAGGAAGCAGTTCCCACAAATCTGCGAACTTTATTGATGTTTTTCGGTGGTAGAATGTTGACTATATAGCCTCAACCTTTTCTGGATCAGGGCGTAACCCTTTCTTATCAACCAGATAGCCCAGGTATTTCAATTATGACTTGCAGAAGTGAGATTTCTTTAACGAAATAATTATTAGTCCAGCCTAACGCAAACGGTCGAATACAATCTCCAAAAGTCGCAAATGTTCTGAAAAGAAGTTAGAAATTATTACCACGTCATCAGTGTAGCACATGACATTTGGTTCGAGCTCTGGACCAAGGATAGTGTCAATGATTCTTTGCCAGGTTGCAGGAGCATTAGATAAGCCAAATGGCATCCGACAGAATTGGCCAAATGCCAATGTTAGATCACAACACACCCAATTTACTTTAAAAAAAAAAACTTTTCATTACTTCAAACTAACAGATTTGACAATGATTAACAACTAAAACCTGACTAGAAATATATTAAAACAACGATAAAAATATCCAACTCTCCAAGCACTGAGCTTCAACAAAAATAAATTGCAACGTATCTTGAATACTGAACTAGCTTAGGCTTAGGTCAGATCAGAAATACAATTGCAGACAGGAAAAGCATGAAAGTTCTAAGATCCAAATAATCAAATGAAAAGCCAAAAGTAACCAAAATAAGAAATAAAAATGAAGGAACAGAATCTTGTGATATTTCAAGAGAAATAGTCCTGCCTTGAGCGGGTATTGACAAGTTAGGATTACTTCTTAGATCCCAAGACTTCTCTATAAATCTCAAAGAAAAATATTTGAGTCTTACATATTAGCAAACCCTAGACATACAGATTATCGCAGGAGAAAATTGGATCCAAACTGCTTGGAAACATTTGGAACATTGGATGACTACAAACCATAGACTGAAAAAAGAAGATCTGATTCCTTTAAAAATAAAGACATTTTCTAGCATATTATAGGTTTTATATTCATAGAATGCCATTATAGAAATTCCTGCATAATGATCATCAAAAGAGAAACAGGTGCTCATATGCATTTTTTCATTCCCAGAAAAAATGTCGCGTGGCGTCGCATAATTTGCATTATCATATCATATTTGAGATTCTTGTGGATTTTAAGGCAGGCCATAGTATAAACTGAGTAAGGCTTCAAATTTTTTCATCTTCTTCATGGCCTTTTCGTCCATATACGGTATGGTAATAAAACCTACACACTATGTCTCAAACATAAACTATAATGCAACTACCAGCTATGAAAGTCTTCATTCTTTAACACACTACTAAATGTTTTTTTTTTCTCCCAAAACACCAAATAAACTTATCTCTAGGAGCAATAAGGAAGACGCATAAAGCTCGCGACAAAAACCCCCTATGCCTAAGAAACAATACAATTTTTTTCGTCAATTTATTAAAATAATCACTAACTTAATGCCCATTCCCCCTAACAGTACTAAGGAAGACATAACTTTGTTGCTACACCAGCCAATTCTAACAGCAGGAAAATTACTTTCATTGTGGAAAGTGACTTACGATTCTTCCTCGGAGGATAATTTATTTGCGGACGTTGAATCGCAAATTTTTATGCGCTGCTGATGGCTCTTTTCTTGTCGGGATGCCTTAATGGTAAATTGCGTGGAAGATGAAGATTTAAAGATGGTTTTATGTGACAGAGAAACAGTGGAGTAAGTAGTGGTGGAGATTGACTCTTAATCAACCGCGTTGAAAGTAAAATATGGACTTTTGTTTATAGGTAGGTATTATTTTTAAGTGTTTGTTATTTTCTATATTCAATAATCTAGGATTTACCGTTTGTCCCTTTTGTGCGGTAATACAAAATATCATATAATAATTCAAAAGTGATTTAGTTTATAGGATAAATTTATTATCGGCAATAAAATAACGTTTAGTTTTTAATTTAAATTAATAATTCCAAACTCCTGTTGATATACTAACTGGTAAATGGGTAGTAAAAGAAAGGAAATGCTCGTTTAATTTATTTGAAAAAGTTGCGTGTAAGGTATTTATCCATGATTTAATGATTACAACTCTTGAAGTAAAACGGATTTACAAATAGTTTTGTGTTATGGCATTTTTTTGTTTATTCTGGCCCGGTTTGCAATCTGATGAATAAAATTGCAATTACAGTTACCAGTAAGTTTATCTGAAGCTGAATATAACATGTCTTAAAATATTAATTATTTACTTTACCTCTAAAATCCAGTTGAATGACATCAAGGTCGGCAATAACCATAGGAGGTTTGGATGCTGTTTTTTCGTAGTCATTAAACCATTCGCACCTGAGCCTTTTCGCTTCGTCCCACACCTGCGGACAAGAAGTAGAAAAAAATCCGTTAATATATTTGCCAACAACAGAATAATTTATGAATGAATTAGTTAGGTAACCGTGCTTGACGATTTTATAATGAGGTATCGGCTTTTTTCTGCCTGTTTTTTTTTGCTTGTGTAAATAATTATGTTTCTGAAACAGATATCGTTTTTTAGTGGTTGGTCTATCATACGCCGACTTTTCCTTCTAAGTGAGTTTGGTTTGGTTTCCATAATTGATTCTCTAGCTTCAAATGTGAATTTGCTCAAGGGTTCAAAGTAGTTGAGAGGCAGTTGAAATGCGAAGGAGAAATAGATAGAAACCATTGCAGAATCAAACCAATGACATACAGAAATTTGGAAGATTTCTCGTAAAATTCAACAAAAGCAAATGGTTTCTTTGCAACAAGATTTACGAAAAGTTCGCAAGGCTCTTAACCAACCGCCTATCTTGGCACATTTCGATTCGGCAGAAACCAACTACCTTGCCAATGGAACTGAATTTGAAAACAGGATAATATGTAACATTCTAAGAAGTAACCTAGCCTTTGTGTTAACATAGCCAATAAGAATATTTCATTAGTTGAGATTGTTGGCAAAACCGCAATGTCAAGGTGGTTAGTCAGCTGATTGTGACAGTGTGCTTGTGTTTTTTAGTACGTTCGTCATCCGTCGAGTATTGTATTTTCGTTTCCTCTAATCAATAGAAGTTATTAAACATTATTTCCGTATCTTAAGTGTTTGTTTATGGACCCAATTTCCCACTGCGTAGGAGGTTATGGGCCCAGTGGACTTTCAAATCGGAAAAATCGTGTTTAAAATCGGATTTTAGTTGAGAGCTTATGGGTCGGCGAAATTAGGTACGGGCGGTTAAATCGATACGGTTCTGTATTATCGATAGTAGAAGTGACGATCGGTAAATCGATAGTATGTCGCGTCGATAGTTGCTGGTGCGAAATACTCGGTTTTGGGGACAGTAAAATATACCTGGCATAGAAGAAAGTTGGTTCGAAATTTGAATACCCGGATTACAAGGGGACAGTATAGGACCAATAAATTAAAAACACCATGGAGGCATCATCAGGAGTAGCACAACTAACTAAATTAGCAGGAGACAACTGGATTAGCTGGAAATTCCAAATTCAGATATCGTTGAAATCCAAAGGCTTCTTTAAAATAGTCACAGGGGAGTTTGCTGCTGGAAGGATGCAAAAACACAAGAGATTATAGTGTCCAGGCTGGAAAATAAAATTATAAATCATGTTCTTTCTTGCAATACAGCTGAAATGTGGGAGAAGCTCAAGTCCATATATGAACACCAGTCCCAGGTGAGTGTCCATCTGTTGTATCAAAAGTTTTTCAGTTTTGAGTATAAAGAATGTGGCGTGGCTGACTTTATATCACAATTAGAGGACATAAGGGGCCAATTGAAGCTTTTGGGTGAAGATTCAAGTGAGAAAATGTTGATAACCAAAGTGCTTATGTGTCTGCCTGAAAACTTGTAGCATTTTATATCAGCATGGGAATCTACCAGGATCACTAACCAAAATTAGACTGAATTAACATCCAGGCACATGATTGAAGGTTTACTTACACAAGAGCCTCATGCAGATGCTCTATTTTCCAACTTCAAGGGCAAGGACAAGGAAAATTGCCCTCGTATTAAGCCCAGAGAAGATGACAGGAAAAATAGACTAAAGTGTCATTATTGTCATAAACAGGGGGGCATGTTATAGCAGACTGCTGGTTTAGAAAAAGGAATGATCAAGGAAATTGTCTAGGTACTGATAATTCACAGGGTGGTATGTCAAATGCTTTTATGGGTGTACTTGAATTAATAAACACTCCAGAGGCATTACCATTGATTGAAGATGCCAAAATAGAGTCAACAGATTGGTGCTTGAATAGCGGAGCCAGCGATCACATGAGTTATGATAAAAACCAGTTTGAATCTATTGAGATGATCCAAGGCAGAAAAGTGAAGATTGGAGATGGCTCTTACCTAGAGGTGAAAGGTGTTGAGAAAATTAAATTAGAAGCTTGGAATGGTAAAAGTTGGATACCCACAGAAATCAACAAAGTGTTATATGTTCCTCAATTAAAAATTAACCTATTCTCGGTTGCGAAAGTGCTGGATAAGGACCTGATCAAGAAGTCAGACAGAGACAAGTGTGAAATTGTTAACACAGCTCTAGCGAAAAGGCAAGATAAGCTTTTCAAAATGATTTTTAGAAATGCTGATACAGGCTATGCCAATTTAGTTGGAAGTGTTTTGGAGTAACATAATAAAATTGCTCATGTAAATTTTCAACAGGTTAGATCAATATTGAAACAACATAATATTAAATTTACAGATGATGACAATGTTATATGCAAACCATGTCTTTCTAGAAAGCAACATAAGTTACCATTCCAAAATAGCACTAGTAGAACTTGTAGAACCAATAAATTGATTCACACTGATTTATGCGGTCCTTTCGAAATTGAGTCTCTGATTATTCTGGGTTTAGAGTAGTTTATTTTCTGAAACATAAGGATGAAACTGAGTCCAATATAGTTAACTTTTTGGAAATGTCAGAGAAACAAATAGGAAATAAAGTTAAAGTCTTGAGGTCTGACAATAGACTCGAGTTTGCAAATAGGGACATTAAATTAATTCTTGACAAAAAGGGCATTAAGCATGAGAGGACGTGCGTTTACTCTCCCTAGCAAAATCATCGAGTAGAGCGAGAAAATTGTACTATAGTGGAAGCAGCAAGAACATTGCTCCACTCAAAGGATTTACCTAAAAACTTATGGGCAGAAGCCGTCAACACAGTCGTTTATGTGCTTAATCGAGTAGGAAAGTTTCCTGTGAAGAATAAAACATCCTCAGAACTTTGGAATGGAAGAAAATTTAATCCGAATTATTTGAAGCCTTTTGGATTTTGGATCAGAGATATCCGTTTACATTCCTAAAGAGAAGCGTAAAAAGTTAGATGCGAAGAATGAGATTGGAATATTTGTTGGTTACAGTGGAACAGTTGAAGGATATATAGGGTGTTTTATCCAGACGAAAATTAAATTGAAACACATCGAGATGTATTTTTTCCTCCAGAAAACCATGTTGAATCGATACAAAAGCAAAACGTGAACTTGGACTTAAATGACAAGGTGATCTTGAATCAGGACAATGAAGAGGATCTTAGTGAAGATAAAGATTCTGTGGCTCAGAGAAATCAGGAGGAACCATTTGTTAAAAATCGAGCATCAGATTTAGAACAAGAAAGTGAAGATGAGACCGAAGGTGAAGAAGAAGAAGACGATGGGTGCAGAGAGACAGAAGAGGCAGACCATTGAAGAGACCAGGGTGGATGGACGACTATAATATGCCTGACACCAGTTTTATTTGTTTGGAGGAACCGTCATCATTTGAAGAAGCCATGATGAATAGCGATTGGGCAGAGAAATGGAAAAAAGCAATACAAAAAAAATTGTGTGTGCTGAAGAATAGTGCGTAAAGTGAAGTGTCATGGCCTGTAAATAAAAAGGTAATCGCGAGCAAATGGGTGTTTGAAATAAAAGGTAGTGGTGAATACAAGGCTCGCCTTGTTGCTCGCGACTTTTAGCAAAATGGTAATAATTTTTATGACATACACTCACCTGTTGCTAAAATGAGTACTTTTAGAGTCTTTTCAATTGTTGCCAATAGATTGGGATTACCAGTTTATCAAATGTACGTGCATTGTGCATTTTTATACGGGGAAATAGACGAAGAGGTCTTTATGTCTTTACCAGGGGTTAATAAAGAAAACAGTACGTCCGTTTGTGAACTGAATAAGTCCATTTATGGCTTAAGAAAACCCCAAAATGTTGGAACAATAAATTTGACAGTCTTATGTTGAAATTAGAATTTGTAAGATCCAATAATGATTTTTGTTTATATTATAAGTTTGAGAATGTAGATAAACTTTTTTTATTGATTTATGTGATTTAGGCATATATGTAAAACAAAATGTTATGCAAGGTTTTGTTGAGTTGGATCAAAGTAAATACTTGTCACAAGTTTTGGAAAAATTTGGTATGTCAAACTGCAAACCTGTGAGCACTCCAATTGATAGCAGCTTTGATTTTAACTTGATTAAAAATTAAAATTATCAGGATAATGATAAACAAAAATATCAACATTTATGCAGAAAAATCATTGGGTGTTTAATGTATGTAGTTTTGGGTACAAGGCCAGATTTATGCCATAGTGTGACAAAGTTGAGCCGTTTTCTTGAAAAGGCTTCAGAACAATTGTATGTAGCACTTAAAAGGGTGTTGAGATATGTGAAGGGATCACTTAATTTGAAACTTAGGTTTGAAACATGTATTGATAAGGTTTTGACTGGATTTGTGGATTCAGATTGGGGAGGAGATGTAAACAATAGGAAGTCTACTACTGGTTTTATTTTTAAAATGTTTGATAGTCCAGTTTCCTGGGTAAGTGAGAAACAACAAACGGTTTCCATCTCCTCAACCGAATCGGAATATATAGCTGTGACAGTAGCTGAGGCTTGCTGGTTAGGAAAGTTCTTGAGTGATTTTCCTTTTGATTTGAAAGAACCAATATAAATCATCGAAGATAATCAATCAGCCATAAAAATTACTAATAATCCTGAAACCAATAGACGTTTGAAACATTTGAATATTAAACATTTCTTTATTAAATAAAAGTTGGATATTGGTTTGATTAAAATGTTATATTTGAAAACAGAAGATCTACTAAAAGGACGGTAAAAACCCGATCCGGTATCCCCCACTCATGTCCCTTGATGTAACCTACGACCGATGTGTTTACTAGGTGCTCAGACAATTGCGCTTTAGTAGCTGGACAATTTCTCTAGTGCACTACACCAGACAGTAGTGCAATGCAAGCATTCATGGGTTCGCTTTTGTCATTTGGATATATGAAACAAAATCATACCCACTTTTTGGAACTCTGGACGACATAATTGGTACCGGTTCTGGAATTTTTCGAGCATGTATGGGTGAAAATTGATTCCTAGCATGAGAAATCGAGGCAAATTTTTTTCTTATCCATATTCATTGATTTTTGTACTCAATCGCACACTCATAAATGTGGTGTATACAATACATCGCGCGGGTAGCTACAGGACATTCTAGAGTGCGGGCAGCTAAAGGTTAAGAAACCAGATGGTAGTTACACAAAAAATGAAGAGCAACGAGCTGCTCTACTACTGGAAACTAACTTTCCAGGAAGCACGCCCAATGATACTGAAGAAATCAAAGGCGGCCCAGGAAAACCAGGCAAGAAAACTGGGAGTTTGCACTCCTCAGCGGCTCAATTGGGCGATCGACTCGATCCAACCGTTCAAGTCGCCTGGAGTTGACGGCATCTTTCCAGCCCTGCGGCAAAAAGGGCAAAATGGAATCATGCCGTATCTAATCAAACTCATCAGATACAGCTTAGCGACCGAATACCCAGTCAATGGAAAACAGCTAAAGTAGGTAACTTTCATCCTCAGGGAAAAAAGACGTCACGCTTCCAAAGTCGTTCAGACCTATATGCCTCACGTCGTTCTTGCTTGAAACAGTTGAGAAAGTTGTAAATAACTACCTACATCTGGACAAGTGTTTTAGAAAAGACGCCACTACATCCTGGGCTGCATACTTACAGAGCGGGCAGATCAACAGAAACCGCTTTACTTGAACTCATTGACGGTATCTAAAACACATTGCAGAATAAAGAAGTAGCCGTCTGCGCTTTCTTGGACATAGAGGCGGCATTTGATAACACCTCTCACGAATCAATAAAAAATGCGCTCGTCAATAAAGGAGTGGACAAAACCACATCCACTTGGATGTGCAAACGCTAGCCACCAGAACTGCAGCAATTGACGTGGGTGAACAAACCATACAAGGCACCAGTACTAGAGGATGCCCGCAGGGAGGAGTACTCTCACCTTTGATGTGGAGTTTAGTGGTTGGTGATCTCCTGAATTTACTGACCGATCAGGGCTTCACCTGCTTTGGGTAAGCCGATGATATTGTCATCATGGCCAGAGGCAAATACGAAGGAATACTCTGCGACCTTATGGAAAAAGTTCTTCGAACCACGAAGGAATGATTGCAGACAGTGGCGCTGAATCTAAACTCTGCAAAAACCACACTGGTAATATTTACAAAAAGAACGAAACTCATAAACCTGAGAAACATTCGAATCGATGGAAGTAGACTATGGGAAAAAAGAAATTAAATTCCTAGGAATAACCCTAGATTCTAAACTTCTCTGGAACCGACATGTAAAGAATACAAAAAACAAAGCAATTCCGGCACTCATGGTCTGCAAAAACATTGCGGGTAAAACATGGGGTTGTAACCCATCAATCCTAAGACGGATGTATACCATGATAGTGAGACCTATCATCACCTACGGAGCAGTAGCCTGGTATAGCCGAACCCAGCTAGGAAAACCCTAGGAAAACTGCAAAGACTCGCGTGTCTTTATATAACAGGAGCAATGAAATCATGCCCAACCGCGGCACTAGAAGTCATTCTAGACCTCACACCACTCCACATGATAGTGAAGCGGATTGCCAGTGGATTATGTCTCAGACTGGAGAAGATAGGTTTACAAAGGAAATCGCACCTTGGTACAACTTTTCCTCTCCCAAACTGTGCACACCTCATGGATCTACTAAAAGATGTGATTGTTGATAAACTGAGTTTCGAGAAAAACTTTTCCATCGAACTAAATACAAAAAACAGATGGAACATGGAATCTATCCAATATCTTAAAGCAGTCACCATCAAATGGTACACTGACGGTTCCAAAACTGCTGAGGGAACTGGAGCCGGAGTATTCGGGCCACGGACCAGATACTCGGAGCCAATGGTTTAATCACACAGCATATTTCAAGTGGAACTTCATGCGATCGGAAGATGCGTGCAGTTCAACCTGAACAGAAGCTATCGGAAACGAGAGATTGTAATAACGTCTGACAGCCAGGCAGCTATCAAAGTATTGAGATCCCCAGTCATCAATTCTAAGACATTATCGGAATGTCTACAGAAACTCAATGAGCTGGGAAAACAAAACAAAGTAAACCTCTTCTGGGTGCCCGGACACATAGGTGTCGAGGGCAACGAATGCGCAGACAGACTCGCAAGAACGGGACCGTCTACTCCCTTCACTGGACCAGAACCATTTTGTGGCGTCGGAAATGCGCACCTCAAAGAAATCCTCAAAAAAAGAAGAGAACCGTCTAAGGAACAAACAATGGCTAGAACAGCCAGGACTACGACAGGCCAAAGATCTATTGGGCAACTTCAACCAAAAAAGATCAGAGTTGCTGGTCAACCTTAGCAAGAAAAGTCTCAAGACTCTAACCGGGCTTCTCTCGGGACATTGCAGACTTAAGAAACACCTACAGAAGTTGGGGACACCACACCTCAAAATCTTTTACTGAACTGCGATGCCGTTAGTCGCTCAATGATGCAGAACCTGTAAAGCGCCCCTATACAGTTGGAAGACATTCTAGCCCTGGAACCGCTAGATATCCTAAAATTCCCATAGGAGCTAGTACTGGAGGGGCTGCTCTTTGAGCAGGAAACCCGAACTTAGCAACTTAGCAGCAGATGGAAGGGTACAATACATCAACCTTGGTTGCGGTGCAACTGACACCTCCAACACACATATACACATACACATACACATGGATGATTTCAGTGGCCAGAAGTTTTCGCTATTTCAAATCAAGAAGCATCTACAGTTGCAAAAGTCTTCGTCAATAATCTTCTTACTAGGCTTGGAATCCAATTGGAACTCATTCAGATCAAGGAATCAATCTCAAGTCACGACTGTTTCAAAAACTTTGCGAATTGTTAGGCATTCACAAGATCAGAACCACAATATTGCATCCACAATCAGATGGCATGATTGAGAGATTCAACAAGACAATCGAGAAACATCTCTCCAAAGTAGTTGGCATCAAGATGATCGGGATGACCATATACCTCTATCTCTGATGGCATAACACAACAAGACTTACTCTTAACTCTCTCTATGAAATACCTATTTGATATTATAACAACGCTATTGTATTAATGTCAATGCTTGCTATGCATAAAATAAGTTACAATAAATTATTGTCTGAATAATTTTTGTCTCATGCAGCTCCCAGGCACGATTCACGATTTGCCTAATCATATTCAATTAAAATACCCCAGATATGAAACAATCCGCGATGTTTTGCTCTCTGAAAATATCCGGCTGATTTGTTGATTCTAATATGCTAATGAAATTAATGAATGGCCAACAGAATGCTTAATTCGCAGGTTGATTGATTCGCTTTGAATCTATAAACTATGGCCGTAGGTATGTAATGGATAAATATGTTTGTACATTTGTCAACATCCTTATTGAGTTTTTTTTTTTTTTAACTAAAATAATTTAAATACTAGTGTTATTGTAGAATATTTACCTACCTACTTACCTCTAACAGATCTTTGTCATACTGAACTACAACGGTGTTTTCGTAGAATTGTCCGTGCAGATCTGGTTTGGTACCGCATCGCGCGTAAGCTATCCGAAACGAAAAAAATGTTTGGCCCGTAGAAGGTGGTACGTACACGCATCTGAAACAAGGTCCATGGAAATACGAAAATCAACTAAAAAATTTGTCTTACCTTGGATCACCATGTTGTCCTTTACTAGACACAATACCCTCGAATGGTTGGCTGAAAGTTAAATGCACATCCATATGGTCTTTTCCACACATTACTTCTAAAGATTGAATGGACGGCATGCCATCGGGTCGATCCAGAGGCCAGAGATCTCCAGCTCCCAAGACCACATTTGCAATCTACAAAAAAGAAAACAATGATAATAAATGTACCGTTTCTTATTCACACTCTTCAAATTTATGTAAATGATACGGTTGAACAAATTTAATAATAGCATACAAAAAGGTCTCAATCAACTAATAATAGTTCGGTTTGATTGATAATATATGGAGCTGATTGATTCCAATGAGTAATTAGACACAGGAAGTTACTTTTCAGCCGCATCGTAACTTTTTTATCAAGTAACTGGTCGTTTGCTTGTTAGTTTTGATTAGGTATGTCTATACGGAAGATGTTAATTTTTTGTATCATTTAATTACCAGCTACTGCGAAAGACATACATTTCAGATGATATGAAATAAATGAATACATACAAAGGAAAATTAATTACGTTGCGATATCGTTCCGGAAGATTCGAGCTATAATTTAAATAATTGCATCCGATCTCATGCCACTCAAAAAAGTCAAAATGTATTTTGGATATGAACGGTTCGCAATTTGCGAATATCAAAAAAACTAACGTAGGAATTTTAATTCGGACATTATATGGATTCCTTTGTCCCTTTGCCCAAGATCACATGGGGTACATGTTTTATACATCTGTTACGGATGATTTTTTTTTCGAGATAGAAGAACGTCCGTGTGATACACTTGAGGCAAGACCACCCAGCGAGATGATATGATCGATTTTTGGTACGATTATCATCTTGGTGTATTGCGATTTAAGTTTATACCAGGAGGAGCTACGATGTTTTTTTTTTGCAAAGATTTTTATATCGCCTGAATGGCTACTTGAAAAAGTTACAGAGTTTAATCGAATACCAGTGTCAAAATGATCTTCACTCTGCCCGGAGTAATTTTGTTATATATATAAAAAGGTGGAAGCGAAGGCCCCAAGACAAGATAGGTAATATTTCAGTGATTCATAGCTCTTGAGCAGTAAAAACTGGCTATTGGAATATTTTGCAGTCTTGTAATACTGGAGTACATCGAAGATGCATAGTAATGACTTGAAAACTTGCCAGACATGTTAGAATTATGGTTCCGGAAAATACTTGAGACTTGAGAGATGATATGGAATCTAAGGAAAGACATAGATCAGCACAGCGTAAGACTAAGGGAAGCCAGAAAGCATAACAATGGGATCAGAAGATGAAAGATATATCAGCTTAGAATTATTGACCACTTTGCGCGGCAAATGCAAAAGTATTTAGGAAAAGAGAGAAACATCATTCAGTATTGCACGGAGTCGATAGAATGGTACCTATGCATGAATAAATTGGGGGTACTATTTGTTGGAGCTGGTAACATACCTTAGGTGACGTTTTTTGAAAGTGTACTGAAAGCTTTTGAAGATCATTGTAGTCCCAGAAAGCGTTTCAAATTTTATATTAGGAATCAACAAGAAGGTGAAGGATTTGACCAGTTTTTAACAGACGTCAAGAAATTATCACAATCCTGTGAATTTGGTGCTTTAGGTGATGAGATGGTTCGTGATAGAATTGTCTTGGGAATTCATGACACGGCCATACAGGAACGGTTGCTACGTGTGAAAGGCCTTGACTTGGCTGTAAATTTATGCCGAGCTGCTGAAATTTCTAAATCTCAGGCTAGAAATTTGCAAGGAATCTCTGCTGAAGTGGAGTTTGTTAGGAAAAGGTCAGGAAACCATAACAATTATAATAAATTAGCCCCAAGTTCTAGTGGTGCAGATAAAAGATTTTTCAAATCTGGGGAAAAATTCAAATGTAGAACATGCCAAACTTTGCATGGAGTTCGTGAATGTCTAGCCTTTGGGAAAGAGTGTGGTAAATGCAAGCAATTAAATCATTTTGCAGTTTCATGTCATCTTAAAAATGTTAAAGTGGAGGAGTCTGATGAGGCTGAGTTCGCAATCAATATTATTGGAATAAAAAACCAGAGCAATAAAGTGTTATCAATTAACTCATTGTTTTTATAATATAAATATTGGTGATCATCATGTGCCTAATAAATTTAAATTAGACACTGGTGCAGATGTAAATGTACTGTCACATAAAACGTTGAGTGAAGTTGGCTTTCCAGAGTCTCAGCTACGAGATACAAAAATAATTTTAGAGGCATTTGGAGGTAGTGTAGTGAAGCCTGTAGGAGTAGTTTCGCTGAAAGTGCAGTGTAAAAATGTTGAATATATTGCTGATTTTATAATTATGAATAATCATTTACTGGGACTTGAATCTTGTGTAAAATTAAATCTCGTTGCTCTACACATGGAAAATATAGATTATCAGAGTAAATTTAATACTAAGGATGAATTTGTAAATAATAACTCTGAATTCACTGAAGGTCTTGGCAAGTTTAAAGATAAATGTGAAATTTAAGTAAATAATGAGGCTATACCTGTTATTATTCCACTCAGAAGGATACCTTTTGTCATTCGTGACAAATTAAAGGAAACCTTTATCAAGTTTAGAACATAGAAAAATTATTTCAAGAGTGGAGAAGCCCTCTGGCTGGGTTAATAATATTGTTATTGTCGAAAAAAACGATGGCTCATTAAGATTATGCTTGGATCCACGAGATTTAAATTTAGAAATTAAAAGGCCTGCATATGTACTCATTCCTACTCTTGAAGATATAGTTGAAAAACTCAAAGGAAAACAATTTTTTACAGTTCTTGACTTAAAAGAAGGTTTCTGGCATGTAGAGCTTACTGTCAAATTTAGTGATCTTTGTACTTTTACACACACTTTGGTTGTTATAAATTTAATCGCTTGCCTTCCGGGCTCAATATGGCACCAGAGTATTTTTAGGCCATAAATCAAAAGATTTTTGGAGAACTTAAGGGTGTGCAAGTGTACATTGATGACCTGTTGATCGCTGCTGATTCCTCTGAGGAGCATGATCAGAATAAGAATAATGATCAGTTTTTTTTATTCTAGTAACACTCCTGATAGTAATTTGCTTGAAACTAGCAGCAGCCAAAACCAAAATAATGTTCAAGTAAATTTTAAGAAAGACCCAAAGAATGACTCTATTGTTAATGAAAGAGTCATGCGCAGTGGTCGTGTTGTTCAATTCCCAACTAAGTTTAGAGATTATGTTATGTAAAGGTTTGTAATGTTTCATTTTAAATTTAAGTTTCTATTCCCAAGGAAGGGAGATGTTGGAGCTGCTAACATACCTTAGGCGACACCAATTTTTTTGTCTGTCTAGAGAGTATCATTTTTTGCAATCTTCAAATAAACTAAACATAAAATATTGTCTTTAATTATTACTAAAAGGACACAACACTGTTATGGTTCTATGGATGGCGTTTCTTCCCGTCCAATGATGCAGCATCCGAAGCAAGCCATTCCTATGTTCACGATTGCCTCGCACTATGTGAGAAAGTGTTCAGCGAGTTTCTTTCCCTTCCTCACAGAACCGGCAGCTATCCTCGTTTTCGATTCCAATTTTCTCAAGGTGCCCTCTCAGCCGGCAGTGGCCTGTAAGGAATCCAGTGAGTATGCGAAGATTGTTTTTACACTATATAAGGTCTTTTGATCTTTACTGGTAATAGAGAAACATCTTCGATTGCCTTGATCCTGGGGGTTGTTTCCAGATGTTGATCCATTTGATCCCCGCTCTTCCTTTCTGAACACTTCCTTATAGGTGTATAGCCAGAGGTTTCGTACTTGGGAAAATTGAAGTCATGGAGCTCTAAGAAGAATTCGATGTTTCAGGATTACCGGATAATATTTTTACCTGACACTCAACGCGTTACCAGCAACACCACTCCTCCTACGGAGTCGTGGTGTTGCTGCGTAACGCGTTTCGTGACAGATAAAAGTATTATCCGGTAATCCTGAAACCTCTTGTGGTATTACATTCGATAAGTTTATTCATTTTTATTTTATCTATAATTAACGTTATTAGGATTTAATGTTTCTGCTGTTAATGTATTATTTACATTCACAGAAAAACATAACTTTTAACTGTATGGCAAGTACATTTTCATATTGCGCCCCCCCTCGAGGAAATCCTGGGACCACGCCTGATTCAGTATTCCTAGTAGTTCATCCACCACTACGCTTCACATCAAGGGTGAGCATACTCCGCTTTGGGAAGTGCCTCGAGTGGTGCTCACCTCAATAGACTCAGTGCCTACTGGAGTCCCTGCTGAACTCGTGGTAAGCATCTCACACATCCATCAAGATATTGTGTCGTTGACTCCCCTTCTCCCTTTAGTGCTCTTCGAATGGCCACATGGAATGTGTTGTCAAAGGCATCAGCGAGGTCTAGGAAGGCGCATACTGCGATTACAATGGTATACTCTGATAAAGACAAGGCTGATACCTCGCATCAAAATGAAGATGATAATTAGGAATGCAACAGACTACGTGAACTACTAACACAACAGCGTACCAGGAAATGCTGCAGCAGTCTGGAATTCAGAAAATCAATAGCCTGAAAACGAGGAGAGCATTAAGCCGTAATGCAATTTCCAATGTGAGTAATATCTCCATCAACATTCTGAAGCTGGATCACTTTCCACAATCCTGGAAGCACGCGGAATTCGTCATGTTACGAGTACAAATTGGCGCAAAACTTTCCACCCCATCAGTTTACCTCTTCTAAGCTAGGCGAGCTATCAAGAACAAGCTTCACTGAGTTGATATCACTCAGAATAGTAGAGCGCACCACCAATAAATTCAACTGGAGAAAAGCCACAGATACCGTTTCTGCTGGATGTAGAACGAGCTTTCGATAGAGTATGGCACAATGGAATGATTAACAAAATGATACAAGGCAGATATCGAGCAAAAACAAATACTTGGAAACTATTCCAAAACTACCTACTACCGAACTAATTCGCCTATATCTACCTCAGATCTCAGCTCAGAAGTTAAAAAAAAAGGATTTCAAGAGCTTACTTATGAAAACATCTGATATACCGCAGCCAACCATGAAAATTGCGAAAGTGAGAATGGAAATAAACTAATTGATGAGGAAAATAGGAGCGGCAACCATACAAAATCAGGCAAACTACACCAAGAGA